GAGGCCCGAAATGCGCCATCGAGCTCAGCCAGTTTCGCACAATCTGGGTCGCTGTCTTGGGCCTCCGGCCAGTACCGTTTAACCGACCCATATCCCCATCCCCATCCCCATCCAGTCCCCCACCATCTCAGCACCCCAGTTGGGGATACATACCCTTCGAGACCCAAAAGGAAAGGGCCTGTATCCCCATCTAGGGGGGGTAAATCGGCCAGTGGGGCTCAGGCCACGCACACGGGGATGGGGACCGGGTAAGCGATGCCCACGTCTGCTTGCTCCCGTGGGCCCCCAGGCCCCCAGAGGTGGCCAGTGGACCGTGGGTCCGGCAGAGCTTCGACCAGCGGGACGGCATGCCACCGCCGGAGTCGGCCGTCGACGTCCCTCGCGTCGTCTCGGTGTTCGGCTGGTCGGTCTGGTACCTCTCGGCGGCGAGCCACGGGGGGAAGCGAGCATCGGAGGCGTAAGAGGTGATTCGAACAATACGCTCCAGGACCTTCAGGGTTCCCCAGAGTGTCTCATGCTCCACAGGGGCTGCAAAAGAGAGGGCCGCCGGGTATTCAGGAAATCCTGAAACGCATCTTGAGCCAATCCTATCATGACATCATTCCCGTCCTAGAGAAGGCCCCAAGGCACCGAAAACTTCTCAGAAGTTGTCGGGGCTTTCTGACTTCCCCCTGCGCTCGTCGCCGAACCTCGGCTTCGCGCAGTATCGCATCTACCTGCACGTCATCGACCCCATCTTCACCGCGGCCCGCTTCGGCCAGAGGCTGACTCCGCTTCTGAAGTCGGTGGCGTGCAATGCGATTGTGACGCCGTTCATCAACATTCCGCTGTACTACATGTGGTCCCTCCATCCTCCTCCTCCTCCTCCTCCTCCTCCTCCTCCTCCTCCTCTCCTCCTCCTCCTCCTCCTCCTCTCCTCCATCCCCCTCCTCTTTATTCTCCGTCCTCCTCCTCTGTCCTTCTCCCCTTCCTCCTCCTCTTCCTCCTCCTCCTCCTCGTCTCCTCCTCCTTCCTCCTCTTCTCTCCTCCTCCTCTCTTATATCCTCCGTCCTCCTCCCCGTCCTCCTCCCTCCTCCTCTCCTCCTCCCTCCTCCTCCTCCTCCTCTCCCTCCCTCCTCCTCCTCCTCCTCCTCCCTCCTCTCCTCCTCTCCTCCTCCTCCTCCTCCTCCTCCTCCTCCTCCTCTCTCCTCCTCCTCCTCCTCCCTCCTCCTCCTCCATCCTTCTCCTCCTCCTCCTCCTCCTCCTCCTCCTCCTCTCCTCCTCCCTCCTCCTCTTCTCATCCCCTCCTCCTCTCTCCTCCTCTTCCTCCTCCTCCTCCTCCGTCCGCCCCTTCCGTTCTCCTCCTCCTCTTCCTCCTTCCTCCTGCTCTTTCATCCTCCCTCATCCTCCTCTTTCTCCTCCTCTTCCTCCTCCTCCTCCTCCTCCTGCTCCTCCTCCTCCGCCCTCCTCCGTCCACAGAGGACGGAGGACGGAGGTCCACCACCCGCCTTCCGTACCAGCAGTGGGACTTTGTTGAGTCGTTCGCGTCGCTCAAGCGCGAGTGGAGGACCTCTTCGATGTCGGGAATCGCTCTCTGGGGTCCAGCGCAGTGGTTCCAATTTGCCTGCGTGCCGGTGCATCTGCGCATCCCGTTCATGTCGGCCGTTGCCGTCGTCTGGTCCGTAATAATTTCGTTGCAAGCGCAATTGGGCAACGTCAAGCCGCAGAAGGCATTCCATTGAGCGTGCGCTCAAGAGGATTCTGGCACCGCCCTCATTTTCCAACGAGCGCGCGAGGCACAGCGCTTGTAATATTATGTTATTGTGCCGATGACTTTCTTCAGCGCCCCACCTGCGAGAGCAGGAATTGGCGAACATTTCCTTACCGCTGAGGCGACCTCATGCAGTTGGGCCATGGGGGCTGTGCACAGTTCGAGAGAGGGTGGGCGCGCAGAGTGAGGGGGGCTGCGCTCTGGCTTGTGGGCTCCCGACATGTGAGCCGACAGACGCGGAAGGCTCCAGAACCGTGGCCTCCGCCTCCTTCTCCTCCTCCTCCTCGCCACCGGATAATCTCTCTCTCTCTCTCTCTCTCTCTCTCTCTCTCTCTATATATATATATATGTGTATATATATGTATATTGGGAGGGGGTCCTGGACCGGGGGGGGGGGGGGGCCACTTTGCCGAGTGGCTGTGGTCCCCCCCCCGGAGGCGCCAGGACGCTCCCAGGACCGCCTAAAACGGCTCCAGGACGCCCTCAGGACAGCCCAAGAGAGGTCCGAGACGGCCCAGGAGCACTCCAAGACGGCTCCAGATGGCTCCAAGATCGGCCAAAAAGCTTCCAAAGCGTCCCAGTAGGCCGCACATTGCATCGGCCTGCGCGCCCGCGCAGCAGCATCGTACGACAGCGTTCCGCGTGCGGACAGCTAGGTGCGAAGCGAAGGTGCGACCGCGTGGTGCCTCCGTCGCCATTTGGCGACGGCACCCCTTCCGTGCAACATCGCCCCCCCAGCCCATTGCGGCAAGGACCTGGCTCGTTGTGGCCAAGCATGGCGGGCGGGCTTTGCCCGTATGATTACATATTGCCGCGCAGTGTGCTAGAGCAGATTGCAGAGGCACTGGTGCGCAGCAGGTTCGCATGTGCACGTACATATGTAGGTATGGCTTTCTTTATATATATATATATGTATACATCTACATATATATATACACGTATATACTTACATACATCTATATATATACATATAAACTTGCGGTCGCCCCCTTTCTGCCCCCGCCCAGCACCCCCCCACGCTACCAAAACCAACGAAACGTTCGTTCATGCGTTGCCTCCTCGTGCGTCTACTGCTGTCTTTCCTCGTCTTCTCCTCTTCCTCCGGCATAACCTACTCCCACACCTCTCCGTGCTCTCAGTTTTGTTGTCTCCTCATCCTCTTCCTCCTCATCCTTCTCCTCCTCCTCCTCCTGCGGGGGCGACCTTGCCAAAGGATTCATTATGAGGCGGTCGGGCAAAATAATGTTTCGTGGCCGTTTTACAAAACGATGTGTTTGCGTAATGTCTTACAGGAGTTGCTGGTTTCAGGAAGCTGGATGGAGACAGATATTCCATGTATGCGTCAAAGTGTTGGCAAAGAGACCGGGTGAAACAAACATGCACCGATGTCCCATATGTATTTGTATAAGCCTACTCGCGGATAGCGCATTCATGTTAAAGCTTTCTGGTGACGGTGTCCATTCCTCCGTTTGTTCCATCGCCTTCATCACGCCCCCTTATGGATTCTCTTACAACATGTCGCACTACAGCTCCCACTACAGCCAGTAGTACAACCCTCTCGCAGGTCTTACCACAAGTTACGCGTATGCTCTTGCCGCAGATTTCACGTGCGCTTTTACTGCACCTATTACTGTAGCTCGTAATACGGATCTTAACATGTCCGAGCTCAGCCAGTACATCTGGCACTACAGCTCCTGATCCTGATGCAGCTCATACCAAATATCATATGCCTGCTCTTCTCACGAGTCCCACACCAGGAAGGAGTGCAGATCTCAATGCAGTTGCTACGCATTGGAGACGAGAGATGAGGGAATCGAGAAAGGGGCGACGACGCGAACATCTGGGACGGAAGAGGGCGGAAACGGGAGGAACGACGAGCGGGAATCCGACATAAAAAGATCTTATCTACCTATCTCCCTCCCCGAAACGAGTGTGATAAAATCATGTGTGATAAAAACAAGTGTGCATCGTTGCCGTGCCAGCACAGCGTATGATTGCGATACATTCCCGCGTGATTTTCTGCAAGAGTGCACGTGTACATGCATGCATGTTTTGCGGTTCCGTATCCGCCGAGGCTCGAATCTAGATGTCACTCTTTGACATGAACTAGAGCCAGGCATTAAAAGTTGCGCATCCACAGCTTGAGAGCTCTTCGGTTTCATCGTCCCCAGGGAATCGTCCCCTGGCTCACCCCTCCGTCATGCAGCTGGCCCAGCCCTCCCCGCCCGCCCCTCCCCGCCCGGCGGCGGCCGCCCGGGGACCCGCGGATGGCGCCCTCTGCCCGGCCCTCGGTGTGTCCGCCCGAGCTCCGCCACACTCAGGGGCAACGATAGGGGGGGATAGGCATTAGGGGGGGGTGCATCGGCCCCCAATCGCCCATTGATCGCCGACGGGGGGCCCGATAGCCCCAACCTGCCCAGGAACGTTCGGATTCCCTATCGGGGCCTATCGCTGATCTATCGGCGATGTATCGCCGATTCAAGGTCGCCTCTAGGCCAGTCCCCCCCCCTATGTTTGCCCCTCGCACAGATTGGATGGGGCGCGCGCGGCCCACTTCCAAGCCGCAGGCTCCCTCGTTCGCAGAAGCAGAGTCGAGCTCAATGGTGTCCCAGGCTCGTCGTCGTCGTCCTCCGCCTCCTCCTCGTGCTCCTCCTCATACTCCTCCTCTCCTCCTCCTCCGCCTCCTCCTCGTGAATCGAGCGACGCTTTGGATGCCTTCCCCCAAGCAGCACTTGCACTCAGGGGTGTGCTCATTTAGGGCTGTGAGGAGCTGGTCCTGTGGCTCGCAGTCGCTCGTGGGTGCGCTGGCGCCCTGCGGCGAGTGCTCTGTGCGTCGCCGTCGGCCGTTGGCACGCCAGTGCCCTGCTGCTGGTTGGCGCGGCCGGCCGTTGGCACGTCGATGCTCTGTGGGATGTGTCCCTACCCTTATGGTGTTCCAACCTGTCTTATAACCTTTATCACCAGAAAGGATTTCGAGCACCAGGAAGGTACTGAAACTGGACGGTTCTCACGTGTCGGGCCCTGGGAGGTGATATTGGTTCGACGCTGATTCGATGCATTGCTGAATGCTCGAAATTGTTTCTGGGATGTGGTCCTTAAGAACGATGGGAGCAACACAACGCTACCTGGAGATTCGCGGGATTTTTTCACATTGGACGATGTCGCCCAGCTTCGACATCGCAGCTGCCCCCGTTCCGTAGCCATTGTGGCCCACTGGGCCGCCTTTTGCACCCCGCGGCCGCGGCGCGCGATGGCCGCCGCGGCGCCGGCGCGCCGCCCCCCCGAGCGCGACGCTGCGCGCGGGCGGCGCGGCGCTGGCAGAGCCGAGCGCGCCGTGGGCCCGCGGCGCGGAGCGCGGCCGGCCGCGCTCGCGGCCGCCACGCTCGTGGCCGCCGCGGCGGGTGCGAGCGGCGCCGAGCCGCGGCTGCACGCGCTGGTGCTGGGGCTCTGGCCGCGGGCGGCGTGGGCCCGCGGCGGGCGGGCGGGGGGCCTCGCGCGGGGCGGCGCTGCGCTGGCGCGGGGCGAGCGCCGGGCCGCGCTGGAGGCCACCGCGCGCGCGGCGGCAGGGCCGGGAGGCCTGGCAGAGTCGGAGCCGCCGGCCAGCGTCCTGCCCATTGCAGACGCGGTCGCTTCTGTTTCCACCAAAGGCGGCGCTTCGCCGTGCTCTCGGCTGCAGACGATGGTCCAGAAGATCTTGACAGGCAGCACCCAGCGTGGTGACGTGACGTACACGTTTTCCGACGACGACAAGGTGTGCACACTGCGGCTGGGCATATTTGAGGTCCGAGGCGGCGGCCCTCTCGAGTTCACCGGTCGGGGGAGCACGCGGCTCGCCTCCTCGAGCAGCGCAGCGCAGCAGGCATGCGACGAGCTGCCAGCCCGCCTGGAGGCCTTGTCGCCAGAAGCGCAGCAAGACATCGCGCGAGCGTGCCAGGAGCGTCGGGATAAGGTTCTCAAGATGGAAGCGGCGAGGGTTAAGACCTTTCAGACTGTCAAAGCAACGCTGGGCACAGTTGCATCCAGTCTGAAAGGCATCGCGCAGTTCAAATACGCGGACGACGGCAAGGCGTGCACTTTCCAGCTGACACCATCTCCGGGGATCCTTCTGGACTTCGCCGGCCAGGGAGAAGACAAGGAGCGCTCTACGTTGAGCGCAGAGAAGGCAGTGAGAAAGGAATTGCGCTCACGGCTTCAAGCGCTGGAGCCGCGGCAGCGGCAGGCAGTCTTGCGGAAATTTCCAAACCTGGCGCTGGAGCCGTTCACCGAGGCGGGCAAGCCAGCTGACGCAGCCGAGCGGCAGGCCTCAGAGGCGCCCGAGCCTTCCGATCCCCACGGGGCAGAGGTCGCGCGCCTCGTGGGCCTCCTGATCAGGATGGGACAGCGGAGATCGCCAGAGTGGAGCACCACGTGGAAGCAGTACTGCGACTCGAAAGGGGGCGGATCTTACGACCCGGGCAGACACGGGCTCAAGTTTTTGGATGGATTTTTGGATCACATAGGCGAGATGGCGCAGGCCCCCGCCTTGTCCTCCTCTTCCATCTCCTCTTAATGCTGACGGCTGTGGCAGCTGCAGCCGGCCAGAACAATGCCGCAGAAAGATGGGGTCTGGGTCTCTGGTCGTGATTTTTTGGCGGTGTCGCGAGCTGAGGGTCGCAGGAGCGGGGCGCTCAGGGAACCCTCTGGAATCCCGAAGGTGCACGAACGGTGCGCCTGTCTTCAGCGCTATTTTCGGCCTCTGGGGGCCCTTACTGGGCCTCGGGATCATCAAAAAACGATTCAGGATGAAAAACCGGTTCCGGGGAAGGGGTCCAGACCTCTGGGGGTCAACGTCGTGAAAAATGACGACGTCGCAAGGGCGCCCTCGAGGGCACGAAGTTATTCGCGCTTCGCGGCTCGGCTCCGATTCCTCTTCATCCTCCTTTTATCCCTGAGAGGCGGCGCGAGAGCGCGAAGTTATTCGCACTTCGCGCAGCGCGAAACGCGAAGTTGGGAGCCCTCGACGTCGGGAAGCAGCGTGCGATTTTGGGAGGCCCCGACCTCCAGCGCATTCTTGTTCGTCCCTTCTGCTCCCTCCTGCCCCCCCCCATCCCCCTTCACAATTACTCAATATGAATACTACTCTCCCTCTTCCCCTGATGACGGCCTGGGAGTGTCCGACCCCCCCCCGCGTTGTTTGTTTACACACAGGTTTCCCCGGAGTTCGGTTTTCGCCTGCATTTTTTTCAAAATGCTGCTCTCGCTGAGGCGCCGGCCTCATTTTCGGGCCCCGCTCGTTCCGAATCGTACTCCCGCTGCAGCGCTGGCCTCATTTCCGTGCTTCCGCTCGTTCCGAATCGTGCTCCCGCTGTAGCGTTGGCCTCATTTCCGCGCTTCCGCTCGTTTCGACTCCTGCTCCCGCTGCAGCGCTGGCGTCATTCCCGTGCCATGCCACGGCATGCACTGCAATGCTAGGTTGATACTACGCTTTGCGGTGCTCTTCTACGCCATGCCATGCCGTGCTCTACAATGCATCGCGTACCCATCATTGCCCTGCTCGACATCCGACTGAGCGAGTAGAGAGGGGATCTGCGCAATGGTAAGGGATGGGAGGGAGGGGTAGGATGTCAGATATGACGCGAGCGCACCTAGCTTGGCCCCCCCCTCCCCCTGCTCCCGCTCCTGCCTGCCCGAGCAGCAATCCATGTATGACGATCGCACAGATGCTCGGGTGCTGCAGGCACGGGCCAAGTCGGGGCTCGAGAGACGGGGGTCAATGCAAACGGGGGTCAGCCAGAGCGACAGATCATCTTGCAGGATCATGCAGGGCCAGGGGCGCATTGACCCGGGCTTGAGTGCAGGATCTTGCAGAATCCGTCGCATTGACCCGGGCTTGGGTGCAGGATCTTGCAGGAGCTTGCAGGATTCTGCAAGGCCTGACTGACCCGGGTCTGGATTGACCCGGGTCAGCAGATCCCCGACCAAGATTTTTCCCCCGAGTTCTAGATTGGCACAGCCTTCGGGCCGATCGGGAGTAGCGTAGCGTAGCGACCTCCGCCGCAGCGATCTGTTCCATCCCGGCATTTTTCTCTTTCGTGCCAGCCTCCAGGGGCCGTCTTCGGGCACCAGGGTTTTAAGTCGGGCCTGTCCCTCTACAGGAGGAATATTCAAAAATAGTATAAAAAGTTTGGGCACGATGTTTTTAACACTTTTGAGAAATGTTTGAGTATCGTTTGACTGCTTTTTTTGTTTTCGTCCAAAATCCCCCGGTAGGGGGACACGCCCGACTTACCACCAGGGCCAACTAAGCAGAGGTCCGGAGCCAGACCCCCCTCCCTTTCCCACCCCCTTTTCGCCCAATGTCGAAACGCCGAATAAGAAAACGCTCACCTGGGTGTCGTTGTTACATGCCTCTTTGCGTTTCGCCACCGCGAATTCGGTTCTCAGGCGATCGAAACCATGGATTAAGAGGGCGTGGATTAGCGACGGGTCCCGTTTCCATGGGAACTCGCGGATCTCCGCCGAGCGAGGTGGCAACGGCCGCATTCTGGGGAGGGCACCTCCCCCGATCCATGGATCTGGCGACCGCGCGCCGGGCCAAGTCCATGGATCGCTAATCCGTGCCTGCGCGCCCCCGACCCTTGCGTTTCACCACCGCGCATCCGGTTCCCTCCGGGAGCTTTGCCCGCACGCACCCCAGCAGAGCGCTCCCGCGGCTGGCTCTCACGAGGGCGACCCGGGCCCCCTGGCGACCCGAAGAGACCGGCACGGCGGGTTCTCTCGGAGCTCTCTGTGCGGGGGTGGCTTTGGGCCACTCTGAGAGGGCCAAGGTGGTACATAGGTCGAAGAAGAACAAGAACACATAAACATAAGCTTTTGGCGCTCCGCGCGGATTTCTTGGATACGCGCCTGGGCCCCCCGCCGGCGCCTCTGGCGGCGCCCCTGACGCGCTCCGCGCGCCAGGGAGGGGGGTCCAGCGCGAATCCACGAAATCCGCGCGGAGCGCCAAAAGTTCATGTTTATGTGTGTTTCTTCTTCTTCTTCTTCCTCCTCTTCGTGTTCTTCTTCTTTTTATTATAAAAATTGTTATTATTAATATTAGTATCATTAGTATTATTATTATTATTATTATTATTATTGTTATTACTATTATTATTAGTATTATTATTATTGTTTTTATTATTATTATTACTATTATTATTATTCGTTTTCTTCTTCTTTTTCTTCTTCTTCTTCTTCGAATGGGGCATCCCAGCCAGCAGATAGGAAAGAATTCGTCGCAAGCAATGGGGGAGGGGATGGGCGGGAGGGGTAGGATGTCAGATGTAACGCGAGCTGACCTACATAGTTTGCCTCGCTCCTCTTTCCTTGTCCTCATCCTCCTCTTCCGCCTCCTCCTCATCCTCCTCAACCTCCTCCTCCTCTCTCCTCCTCCTCCACCTCCTCCTCGTCTTCGCCACCACAACCACCCTCGTCACCATCATCATTATCACCAGCAGCATCAACAGCAGCATCATCATCGTAATCATCGTCCTCGCCCTCCTCATCATCGTACTCATCCTCAGCATCAGTATCATCATCACCAGCAGCATCATCAGTCTTGACAGTATCATCATCATCATCCGCATACTCACTATTACAACCACAGTCACCAACAACAACAGCAGCGGCAACAACAGCATCAGCATCTGCATCACCAGCAACAATCATCATCAGCTTCATCATCATGGCAGCCATGCTCATCATCGTGATCAGTATCGTTAGCAGTGTCACCACCACCATCATCATCAGCAGCAGCATCATCACAAGCATCACCATAGCAAGCATAATCAGCATCGTCGTCATCATCAGCATCATCATCCTCACCATCCTCACCATCAGCAGCATCATCATCCGTATCATCATGACCATCATCCTCACCATCATCATCACCATCAGCACCGTCGTCGTCACGATCATCATCATCATCATCATCATCATCATCATCATCATCATCATCATCAGCATCATCATCAGCATCATCATCATCATCATCATCATAATTAGCATCAGCAGCAGCATCAGCACCATCATCAACAACAGCATCAGGTTCAGCATCATCATCATCATCATCATCATCATCATCATCATCATCATCATCATCATCATCGTCGTCGTCGTTAGCACCAGCAGCATAATTATCCTGCACCTTTCTCCTCCTCCTCCTTCTTCTCCTCCTCCCCTCCCCAATGTTTCTGTCCTCCCCCCCTCCTCCTCCTCCTCCTCCTCCTCCTCCTCCTCCTCCTCCTCCTCCTCCTCCTCCTCCTCCTCCTCCTCCTCCTCCTCTTACTCATCCTCCTGCCCAGTTCCCACAATTTTGCAAAGCAGGGACCTTGCAGGTTGCCCAGCTTTCAGGCCGTGCTGCTGGCTTTCGGTTTCGACAGCCGCGCCGAGGCCGAGGCGTTGGGCCAGAGGGTGGTGGAATCCCGTGCCGCCGCCCAGGCTGCTAGAGCCTCAGGAGCCTCGGAGGCGGCAGGTGACGATGTTGACGTTTGAGGTGATGTGCCATGCCAGTGGCCCCGGGCGGGGTTCGGGCCCCTCGCCAGGGTGCAAGAAAGCTCTCCTTCGACTGGCACCCCCCTCTGTTCCCCGTCCTCTCTCCTTTGACCTCCCCCCTTCGCGGGAAGTGAACCTCCTCCTCCTCCGCCTTCTCCTCCTCCTCCTCCTCCTCCTCCTCCTCCTCCTCCTCCTCGTCCGCCTCCTCCTCCTCCTCCTGCCTCCTCCTCCTCCTCCTCCTCCTCCTCCTCCTCCTCCTCCTCCTCCTCCTCCTCCTCCTCCTCTGCCCCCCCGAAGACTGCGGCGACGGCGGCGGCGCGGGCGGTGGCAGTGCTCCTGCGCCGAGGCCACGCGCCGCGCCCCCGGAGCGCCGCCCACGCGGAGCGGGAGCTCCGCGGCGGGGCACGGGGGGGGGGCTGGCAGGGCGGAGGGGGAGGCCGCTGGGGGAGGGGGGGGGGCCTCCCCCTCCCCTCCTCCGTCGGCGGCCGACGGCTGCCGTGCTGCGCTTCGGGGCACTGACCTCAATGGCGCGTCACATAGCAGGAAAACAGCGGGGGGGCGCGGCGCAGGTGAGCCGCGGAGCCTCCCCCCCCGCTGAAGAGGGTGTGCAGGAGGAGCGGGGGAGGGAGGGGGAGGAGGAGGAGGAGGAGGAGGAGGAGGAGGAGGAGGAGGATGGAGGTGGAGGTGGAGGTGGGGTGGAGGTGGAGGTGGAGGTGGAGGTGGAGGTGGAGGTGGAGGTGGGGGTGAGTGCGGGGGGTGGAGGAGGAGGAGGAGAGGAGGAGGAGGAGGAGGAGGACGAGGAGGAGGAGGAGGAGGAGGAGGAGGATGGAGGAGGAGGAGGAGGAGGAAGAGGAGAAAATATTGGGAAAGGAGGAGGACGATACGGAGGAAGGAGGAGGAGGAAGAAGGAGGAGGACGTAGGAGGACAAAGAGGAGCGCGGAGTCGGGGGGGGGCAGGAAGAGGTGCAAGGGGGGAGGAGGAGAGGAGAGAGGAGTGAGAGAAGAGATTACAAGCTCGATGCGTCCCACCCATCCCTTCCCATTGCGCTGTTTTCTCTATATCCGCCGACGGGTGTTCTAGCGGACTTGGACCCCAAAGTGACCCCTATCGTGTCATGTGCAATCGCAAAAGAGGTGCTATGCACATTGGAGGGGGACGTGGCGGATGAGCAGGAGGATGAGCAGGAGGAAGAGGAGGACGAGGAAGGAAGAGGGCGGGGAGAAACAGCAGCAGCAGGAGCTGGAGTGGGAGAATCGGGAGGAGCAGGATGACCAGGGGAAGACGGGGGAGGGGAAAAGAGGGGGGCGACAGCGTTCAGGAAGGACTCGGATCCAGAAAAACTGCCCACGCCGGGGCGAGAGCGCCATTGTGAACGATGGGATCACAGCGCCGATACTAAAATGAGGCTACCTTTGCAGCAGGGTGGCACCATTGTGAGACACTGAAGAAACGTTCCGATGGAAAAGCGGCGAGAATAACAATGTTGGAAACCCTGTGTGAAAAAACGATCATGAAGTGGGGTGGCACACGCACACACACACACACACACACACACACACACGCCATCGTCAGGGAAGAGAGGAAAGCAGTGTTCGTATCAAGCTGGGTGCGCCTGCGTCACATCTGACATCATACCCCTCCCACCCATTCCTTCTCCTTGCGCTGGTGTTTCTCTATACGCGGACGCGTGTCATCTTGAAGTCAAACATGGCCTCATCGTGTCATGCACAGTGGGAGGAGCTGCGCATACAGGAGGGCGAAGACGAGCAGCAGCAGCAGGAGCTGGAGCGGAAGGAGCGGAAGCAACAGGCGGACCAGGGGAGGGCGGAGGAGAAGAAAAGAGGGGGCCACAGCGATGCGACAGGAGTCGGATCCAGGAAAGCGGCCCTGCGCTGGGGTAGAACGCAGCTCGGAACGACGGGGCCGGAGCTGCGATTCCAAAATGAGGCCGGCGCTGGATCGAGAGCACCATTGGAGAAGGACCAGAGGCGGTTGGATATGAAAAACACCTGCCACACTTCATGTTTGGAAGTCCGGAAAAATGCACGGAGGAGGCGCGACACTCTCAACACGTCTTCGGAGCACAGGAGAGGAGAGCAGTATTCATATTGTGTTGCTGTGAAGAAAGGCCAAGTAAGAAGATGGAGAAATAGAAGGAGTGCCCTCGTCCCTCTCCTTCCCCTTCTCCTTCACCCCCCCCCTTCCTCCACATCGTCTTTTTTCATCCCACGTCGTCTTCCTCTGCTTGTCCTTCTCCTCCCACTCCGCATCCTACCTCCTACCTCCCCTTTCTGCTCTCTTCAGTCGCCGTCTCGACACTGGACCCCCAGAACCGGACCATGCGCTTCTGACTGGCAAGGAAGCTGAAACTTCAAGATTTGGAGGTCGCCTTCAGTCCGACTCACGAGTGGGAGCTCACTAAGAAATGTTCGCCGAGTCCAGAGACCCTTCTGGATGGACATGGCTCGAGAAAGCATAGACAAATATCAGGTTGTGGAGCTCCAGTCGTGACTTACTTCGGGGTGGTGGAGGGGAGGAGGAGGAGGAGGAGGAGGAGGAGGAGGACAAGGAGGAGGAGGAGGAGGAGGACAAGGAGGAGGAGGAGGAGGAGGAGGAGGCGAAGAATGGGAGGATAATGGGAGGATCAAGGATGAGGTTGACGAGGGTGGTTCCTCCCCCGTGCTTTTCCCTCATCGTCAAGGCCCTCGTTGTGGTCGCCTTCGTCGTCGTCGTCGTCGTCTCCGCCGCCGGCGCCGCCGTTGTGGTCTGGGGGCGCGAAGAAGCATAATTCCATCCACTCTACTTGTCACGCGGCATCGCCGCGGGGGCCTGAAGAAACAACTATCCCATTCGATTCGTCACGTAGCAACCTTACGGGGGCGGACAAGAAATAGTATGCCACTCTACTCGCCACGTGGCGACGCCTGGATGCACGAAGAACAAGTATTCCGTTCCAGTCGTTACGTAGCGGCGCCGCGGGGGGCGAACATAGTTCTAGACGTTTCGCGTAACCCCACCAACCTTGACGGCGCCCGGCATGCCGGCGCGCTTGCGAACAAAAAAGTAACCCCACCAGCGTTCGTCCTGGTGCTGGCGCTCTTCGGAGCGGCAGTGAGGTTCGCCCGCTGCTCGTCTCTTCCGCCTTCTTGCTCCCTTTCGTGGCGCCCTTCTCCTTCTGTGCGCTAAATTTAGGCCGTTGCATCGACGCTTCGTTCTGACGGCGCCCGGCGTCTTCGGTGCGTTTGCGATCAAAAAAGTAACCCCACCAGCCCATCCAGAAACGATGCCCAGAGGAATTGCCTCGATCAGGGAAGTGGGCAGCACACAAAGGAAGGGTCCCCCAGTGGAGGCCTCTTGGGGCGTCTTGGGGGCCTGTTGGCGGTCCCAGGCGCCTCTTAGACTGTCTTGGGTGCCTCGCAGAGCTTCTTGGGGCCTCTTGGGGGTCTCTTGGGAGCCTCTTGGGCGCCTGTTGGGGCCTCCTGGGGTCTCCTGGGCGCCTCTTGGGGCCCTCTTGAAGCGCTCTTGGGAGCCTTGGGCGCGCGCGCGGAGCCCTCTTGGGCAGTTTTGGAACCATCTCGAGGCCTCGGATGGCCATCGGAAGCGAAAAGGCGAGAAAACCAAAAACAGTAATGTTCGCAAGGTTGTGGGAGGATTTTGGCATCGTCGGGTCCCCTTGGGGGAGCTCTCTGGCCACTTGGAGCCGTCTTGGAGCGGTCTTGGGGCCTCTTGGAGCATCGTGGGAGCCATTTTGAGGCATCTTGGGGTATCTTGAGCCATCTTGGAGGTCATCTTGGGCTCTCCCAGGCGCTCTTGGAGTCATCTCAATCAGTGGCCAAAACCTTTGCAATAAAAGCAATAATTTTGGCATTCTTGCCGAGGCCCCTTGGAACGTTTTGGGTGCCTGCGGGGGGCCTTTGGGGAGCCTCTTGGGGGCCTCCTGGGGGCCTTTTGGGGGCCCCTTGGGGCCTCCTGGCCACCTCTTGGGGCACTTTTGGGGCACCCTTGGGAGTTTTGGGAGCGATCGCGGGGCCATCTCGGAGGACATCGATCAAAAAGGGGGCTCACGTAATTAGCGCTGCCCAAAACCATTGTAAAACCAATGATTTTGCCTTCCTCGCCGAGGCCGTTTTGGACGCCCTGACCGCTCGCGGGGCGCCCCGGGGTTAGGGGGAGGGGTCAAGACTCCCTCCCCGCCCGCAAACCGTCTCGCTCACCCCCACCCGCCTTTCCAACACATACGGAGCACCCGAGCTTGGCCCGAGCCGCAGCATATTCAGCAGTCGTTTTTGGATGGGCACCCCCACTCGTAAGGATTATTTAGTAAAGGTTCCTGAGTCGGGATTTCTGACCCAGGGTCTCTTAGCAAGGATAACATGTCAAAGGCTCCTTAGTGGGGATTCCTTTCTTCAGGATCCCCTCGTAAAGATTATTGATCAAGGGTTCCTCAGTAGAGACTTTTCCAAAGGGCGCAATAGATGCCAGCTTGCGTGGGGACGGCATGGCCTGGGAGGTTTTGGCGCTGGCAAGCGCCGTAGCATCGTCGACGGGACCTGGGACCTGGCAGTCGAATCGCTTCCCTACAGGCCAGTGCGATGCGATGCGATGATCGCCCCCGCCCCCTTTTTGTTCCCCGTACCTCCCGTAGGGAACGATTGGGAAGCTCGCCCCAGCGGAAGGAGCTTAGGAAGCCGGCGTTCCTTTGTTGTTGGTGGTGTTGGTGTTGAATATTCATTTCTAACGAATAGTTATTGTCGGTATCCGGAGGTCTTCTCGCTCTCGCCTCGACGCCAGCTACATTTTCTCTGAAAACGAGGCTCCCGCTCGAGCGTTGGCTTGAGCCTGAATGTGGGCCCTTGGAAGCCCAGCTACGACAACACCGGTTCCCGCTCGATACGTCCTCACAATTTTCCCCGAGAAACCCTGGGCAGAGCCCCCCGAACTCAGGAACGGCGCTCTCGCCCGAGACTTCTTCGCAATTCAATTAAGTTGGCGGAGGCCCAGCCACGACGACAAGGGCTCTTGCTGGACACTTCCTCACGATTTACTCCGAGAGCCCCTGGCCAAGAAGGCCCCGAACTCAGGAACGGCGCTCTCGCTCGAGACACTCCCGCAATTCAGGCACATTGGTGGAGGCCCGGACACGGCGACAAGGGCTGTTTCTTCATAGGTATTGCCGGAGCCCCTGGCCAGAGAGGCCCCCGAATTCAGGAATGGCGCTCTCGCTCGCCACATCTTCGCACTTCAGTCAGTGGCCGACAAGGAAAAGATTGGCCCGAAAGGGGGTGCAATCGAAGACGAAGTGGGCCGGTACCGAGGGTTGGGGCATACGGAACGCAAGACACGCGTGCCAGTAAGTGCGAACAGTCTTAAAATGATTGTTGTTGTTGTTGCTGTTGCTGTTTTTGCTGTTGTTGGTGTTGGTGCTGTTGTCGTTGAACCCGCACTACTGAATAATGATTATTGTTGATTTCCCCTCCGGTAACATATTTGCTTTTTCAATTGAAGTGCCCCTCCCAGGGCTCGCACCTTGTTTTTTTTCTGGAAGAGTCTTCATCCTCAAAGTGCGCCCTTGGCCCCCGGACTACAACAACATCGGCGCCCGCCGGATACTTCCTCGCAATGTACTGAGGGATCGCGCTCTGTTAGGGATTTCCTTACAATTTATCCAAGAATCGCGCTCTCGCTTGTGACTCGCGACTCATGCAGGACGCACGCTTTAGCAACCCGCCTGCTCGACCCCTGGCCGTCTAGGCCCGTCTTCCAGACCCGCCCGTTTGAGTCTACCCGCCCGATCTGCCCGTCTGGTCCTGCCACGTGTCTTCTGCTCCTAGCCCCCCTCCTGCTATTTTCTCTCGTGCTCCATCTTCCCCCCTCCTCCTTGTCCCGTCCTTCCATCCGTCCTCTCTTTTCCTGCCTTAGGGGCTGAACGAAATACACACGCTGCAGGTAAGAAAGATCCACCCCGAAGGGGGTATGATCGAAGACGAAGAGGGGGGGTTCTCGAGGGTTTGGGATCTACGTGTTGAGTGGCAAGCGAGCAGGGAACAGCGAACAGTCTCAATATGAGTGCTGGTGTTGTTGCTGTTGTTGGCTTTGTTGTTGTTGTTGTTGGCATTGTTGTTGCTGTTGCTGTTGTTGTTGTTGTTGTTGTTGTTGTTGTTGTTGTTGTTGGCATTGCTGTTGTTGGTGTTGTTGTTGGTGGTGGTAGGACTGTTGTGGTTGTGGTTGTGGTTGTTGGCTGTTGCTGTCGCCTTCGTCGTTGCCAGGCTCGTGGTCGTCGCCGCGGCCGCCCTCCCCAGGAGCGGTGGGGCCTCCGCGGCGCTGGCCGGCGCGCTCGCCGCCGGCTGCGGCGTCCAAGGGGCCCTGGCGCAGCCTCCACAGTGGCAGTCGGCGACCGATCGGTCCGGGGACCTCGGCGCCCCCGAGGGCCCTCGCCAGAAGTCAAGCAGTGACGAAGCGCCCTGGCGTGCCTACAGGCCTACCAAACAATGTTCTAAGAGCATTTTGTGGTTTGCACGAAATGTTCTTTGAACATGTCTGGCTGATAAGAAGATTTCGTGGTAGGCCTATAGATATGGCGGGACGGTCGGTCCCTGTTCAAAAAGAGTTTCACGACTCGTGTGGTTCGTTTTTGTCATGCATTGTTTTGCCGATCGGCGCGGGCCCTCGACCCCCACCCCCCATGGAGTAGATCTTGGCTGTTTTTAGCGCTTGTTTCGAGCAGGTGGAGTCTCCGCCATAGAACGCACTGTTACAAACAGCCGCGCTAAGCAGAGGTCTAGAGCCAGGCCCCCCCCCTCCCCCCCCCTTCCGCCCAGTGTCGAAACGCCTAATTTTTTTTTTTTTAAAAAAAAAAAAAAAAAAAAAAAAAAAAAAAAAAAAAAAAAAAAAAAAAAAAAAAAAAAAAAAAAAAAAAACGCCCACCTCCAACAGACTTGCGGGGTTCAAGCTAGCCCGAATCGAACTCAAGCTGCACGATTCGACACGAGTCCAGGTGAGCCGAGTTGAACCCTGGAGAAATTGTGAAAGCTCCAGATCGGTTCGAGGAACAGCAGAAGACGGTAAGCCCGTCACGACCCTAAAGGGAGGGTCTCAAAGAGTCGTACCGGATGCATGTTCGGCGTCTGGAGGCCGTTTCTTTGAATTTTGATGGCAAAATCCACACGACCAATGTATTCCCGGGAAGGGACCGAGAGGTACAGACGCCAGCGTCACGAAAAAGTTACAGCGGAGGATTGGGGAGGGGGGGGGGCCCGAGGACCCAGGTTTTGAGCGTTTGGGAATTTTTCTGGGGCCTCCCTGCGCGCCCTCATCGCCACGGTCGAGTTGGCTTTGAAATTGCCGACGCTTCGCGTATCCCCATCAGCGTTGGCCCTACCTGTCTAATCGGATAGGCCGGCTGCGCGGACTGGCGCCGACAGGGCGACTCTTCCGCAGCGTTTAATCGAGCATTTTGCTGAGTGCATGTGCATACTCGCGTACTGCGGGTTTTTACTGCAGGTGCATTGCCTGTTGTAGCTAATTAGCCTCGCCTGCTGGCCCAGACAACGCCTACCGCTCCCTGTCCGCCGCCTCGGAGCCGCCGACCAAAAAAGTATCCCTATCAGCTGGAGTGGCTGCCCGCGCGCTCACTTTGCTTGCCTCTCTCTTCTTGCTGCCTAGTCGCGGCCCGGCTAGTGTTCGGACGGCGTTCGACCTGCTTCGCGAGCCCGCAGACCAAAAAGTATCCCCAACAGCCAGTGTGGCGTTCCGGTCACCCTACGCCGCCATTGTGTACATGGCCTTCCTCGGAAGTTTCTCACGCTTCTGGTGCCCCTCGACGCCTTCGCACCATTTTGGTCGCCTGAGCTCCGCCTCGCACCGGGCTTTGCTCGTCGCTTCTTTCCCGCAGTCGTTGGCGTAGCCTGCCCCTGCTTGCTCGGCGTTCGACCCGTTTCGCGCGCCCGCGAACCAAAAAATATCCCCAACAGCCCATTTAGAAACGATGCCTAGGCGTGTTGCCCAGATCAACGAAGCGTAATACCATGCAGAGGAACAATCTGCCAAAAAGACCTGCGCGAACAATACAAAAAATATTCAGCAGACGGCAAAAAAAACACCCATGCAGCAGGGCATCAGTTTCATCCAGGATCGATGTCCAGGCGAGTTGTCCTAGGAACCTCGTGGAGGCCTCACATGAGCAGCTAGCAACCCATCCAGACATGATACCCAGGCGCGCTGCCTTGACCAATGAAGTTCAGCAGCATGAAGTACAACATCCGCTGAGGAGAATATGTGGAAACCTGAATCCTACCGCCGATGGAAGAGCAAAAGCAGCAAAACATCATAGTTGCATCCAGAACCGATGCCCAGGCAAGTTGTCGTAGGAGCCTCGCGGAGCCCTCCTGGAGCATGGAAGAGGAGGAGGAGGACGACGACGACGACGAGGAGCAAGAGGACGACGACGACGAGGAGCAAGAGGACGAGGAGGACGAGGAGGAAGAAAAGGATCATGAGGAGAGCAATGAGGAGGAAGAGGAGGAGGAGGAGGCAGAGGAAGAGGAGGAAGAGGTCTTCGTGGATCTTTTGTTGTGAACGCCTCTGGGAGGACACTTGGAGTACTTTGGGAGCCCTCTCGGGGCCCCCCTGGAGCCTCTACGGGCCCTCTTGGGGCCTGCTTGGGGGGGGTCATGGGGTCTTGTTGGGGCTCTTTGGAGGGGTGGGGGGGGCTCTTGGGGCGATCTCGGGCCCCGTGGCTCAAAAATGAGTGGGGGGGCGCAGTTCGCACTGCGACGGCTCCCCAGGGTCAGTATCCGATCCAGCTGATCAGACCGATTGGCTGATCGGCTGATCGGCTAATTGGGTTCTTCCTCCTCCTTCGCCTCCTCCTGTTTTTCCTCCTCCTCCTCCTCGTCCTCATCCTTCTCCTCCTCGTCCTCCGCCTCCTCCTTCTCCTCCTCCTCCTCCTCCTCCTCCTCTGGCTGCTCGGCTGTGCGGGGCCCGCGCCTGATCGGCTGGTCGGCACCTGATCGGCTGATCGGCTGGTTGGCGCCTGATCGGCTGATCTATCACACTCGCCCCTTCGCGGCCAGAGTGTGGGACGTCTCCAGCGAGGCGCCCGTTTGGCTTCCCCGGCCCTTTGGTTTTCGGAGTACATCGTGGGGAGGTCCGCTGCGAGGCGCTCGTTTTGGCACCCCAAGGTGGAGCCGCCAGGGCGCACACGCCTCGCCCGTCCGCGGCCGGATCGCGGGGATGCCCGGTGCCAGGCGCTCGATCGGCATCCCCGACTCCTCTGCAGTCAGGGCCCCACTCTGGAACCATTTGTGCCCGAGATCTGTGTACGTCGAGAGAGAGGGAGAGGGAGAGAGAGAGAGAGAGACAGAGAGAGAGAGAGAGAAAAGAGAGAGAGAGAGAGAGACAGAGACAGGGAGAGATGCGGGCAGCATTTACAGAGCTGCACGGAGTCAATTTGCAACCGCCTCGGAGTGCGCAAGCCCGCCCGTGCGCGTGTGACGTCTTCCGCCTTGAGCGGACGACTAATCCTGCCTCCCCCCTCCCTCGCCGTCGTCCTGGCCTCTCCCGCTCGCAGGGGGAGGATCCAAAAGGAGATTTGAACCTTTAGCGCGCGCCCGGGTTCTAGAAGAAGATGAGGAGAAGGAGGAGGAGGAGGAGGACGAGGACGAGGACGAGGACGAGGACGAGGAGAACGATGAGGAGGAGGAGGAGGAGGAGGAGGAAGAGGAGGAGCAGGGGCAGGAGCAGGCGCAGGGAGAAGACACGAGCGCGGAGAAAAAAACATTCAGGCTTCGCGTAGCCCCATGGGAGTTGACCTGGAGAGGGAAGCGGGGACACGTGCAGTGAAACAGAGCGGGCAGCCGGGGTGAACAGAGATATCTCTGGAGCAAAGGGGGTGGCCTTAGACGGCCTTTTCGGACCTCCCTCGGGCCCGCGTGGGGGCGAGGGATGGGGGAATAGGAACAGGAGGAGGAGGACGAGGAAGGTGAGGAAGAGAAGGACGATGATGATTATGATGAAGATGATGGTGATGATGCTGATGATGATGATGGTGATGATGATGATGATGATGATGATGATGATGATGATGTGATGATGATGATGTTGATGTTGATGATGATGATGGTGGTGTTGATGAATCTGATTGATCTAATTATATTTTTGTGGATGATGATGAGGAGGAGGAGGACGAGGATGAGGGGGACGACGACAACGACGCCGATGGCGTCGACGACGACGACGACGACCACGACCACGATCACGACCGCGACCACGACCACGACCACGATCACGACCACGATCACGAAGAAGACGAGGAAGAGGAGGAGAACGGAAAGGAAGACGACGAGGGCAAGGACGAGGACGAGGACGAGGACGAGGTGGAGGTGAAGGAAGCGAGCCTTCAAAATCGCCTCTTGGAGCCCTCTGCGGGCTCTTTTCGGGGGTCCTGGGGGCATCTTGGAAGCCCTGGAGGGCCTCATGAGGCAATATTCGAGGCGATCGACCAAAGGAGGAGGGGTTGTCGATTTGCCTCCCCCCAGGGGCCATCAACATCGCCTCTTGGGGCCTTCTTGGGCCGCTCTTGGGCGCTCTTGGAACCGTCCGGGGAGGCCTCTTGGGACCCTCTTGGGCCTCCCTTGGGCCGTATTGAGCCTCACACGCGCATTGGAGGCGAAAAGGCGAGAAGTCAAACAGCATTGATGTTCCTAGGGGTCTGACAGGCTTGGGCATCTGCGGGAAGGGGGTCCTGAGGGGGCTCGGAGGGCATTGGAACCGTCGTGTGGCCCTCGTCGGGCCTCTTGGAGGTAATGTCGGAAGCTACCTTGAACCATCCTGGAGGCCACCTTGGGAGCATCGGGTGCCCTCTTGGAGCCACCCTGTGCCACCTTGGTCGCCGTGAGACTTCGCGGCCCGCCTCAAAACACCTTAGGGGAAGGGAGGGGAAGAGTACCCCTCCCCGAAGGGAAGAGGTTTTGGAAGGGGGCCCTGGTTTCCCTCCCCCCTCCTGCCTTCTCCCTCCTCCTTCTCGGTATCCCTTTCATTGTGTCGGGTGAGCTTGTCAGGGCCACAACTACCGCGGCGAGGAGGAGTAAGAGGAGGAGGAGGAGGAGGAGGAGGAGGAGGAGGAGGAGGAGACCGAGGAAGAAGTACAGGAGGGGGGTCGAGCAGCCGATCAGCCGATCAGCGGTCGAGCCGCATAGAAACCGATAAGCCGATCAGGAGCCGAGCAGCCGATCAGCCGATGAGCAGATCAGCGGCCGAGCAGCTGATCAGCCGATCAGTCGTATCGGCTGATTGGCTGCTCGGCCGCTGATCGGCTGATCGGATGGACTCGAATACCACCCCTGGGGTGCCGTCGCCGTGTCAAGTCGCCCCCCCCCCACCTCCCAATCCGAGACCAGAAATTGGCCGTTGGGGACCCTCTTGGACCCCTCCAGGGGCGAGGCGTGCGGGCGTCTTGGGGCCCTCTTCGGCCCGATGATTTTCTTTATGAATAACGTTTCCTCGTCAAACCGCACCACCAGACGTGTCGGTAGAGCGCTGGCCAGGCGCGTCGCTTAAACTATCCTCACAGTCTACAGTTTTGAAGCTTGATTGTTTCAGCATTTCACACTACTTGAGGGCAAACCATTTCCAAGTATTGCTCTCGCTTCGGCGCAGCGCACGTTCGTGTATCACCTCCCATGTGAGGTGGGTGGCTTTCAAGATATGATTCGCCCGAACACAGCTCACAGCACCTCCGCTTCTGAGAAGGCGCGAGCCTTGCCTGCAGATGTAGGCCCGCGCCTTCCAAGAGGCAGCCTCCTTCTCAGAAGCCGTCCCCCCTCCCCCTGCCCCCTTGTGCGCGCCGCCGCAACGTGTGCTTCCAGCTGCCTGGTGTGGTGCCACCCGTGGCAGCTCTTCTGGCCGGGAGAATCCGGATGGCGACATGCCTCTCCAGGCTGGGGGCTGCTGTCTCTCTCTCTCTCTCTCTCTCTCCCTCTCTGTCAGAGTGGGAGGCCCCCATGAGTTGCCGCAGAAGTCGGTCAGATGTCTGGGAGGGCGGGGGGGGGGCACGGGGCGTCGCCGCCGTAGTCGCCGTCGGCCGTCCGAGCCGTCGCCCGCCGGCGGCCACAAGGTCTGCTCGGAGCAGGAGCCCCGAGATCGGCGGCGACGACAGGGGCGAATAGCCCAGGGGCGGGCATTACAAATAATCGTCCGGGAGCCTGTTCGAAGACATAGGTCATCGGCGCACCTGAGTACATGTATTGCTCTCCCCTGGGCTATTCGCCCCTATCGTCGCCTCTGACAGGACCCCCCCCCAGGGGGGGCCTGCACCTGACCAGCTCCCCGAGCTGCAGCCAGCCGCTGCGACGGCCAGGAGCAACGCTTGGGGGGTCATCAACCCCACATCGTCCGTGGACCGCCGATATACTCAGGGCGAGGAGGAAAACACACAGAGAGACGCAAAGGATCGTCGACTACCAGCAGAACAGGGGAAAAGATGCGGGAGGTGGCGGGGGACGACGAGCGTATCAGGGGGGGATCCTGAGATTTGTGTGCCTATGTATCGAATCGTCCCTGGGCCTCCTTCGTATATCAGGCGATCGCAAACATGGATCCATGGGGCGTGGATCAGCGACGGGTCCCGTTTCCATGGGAAATCACGGGCCGCATTCTGGGGAGGGCACCTCCCCCGATCCGTGGATCTGGCGACCGCGCGCCAAGCCCATGGATCGCGAGTCCATGTTTGCGCGCCCCCGAGTATATATAATATAATAAAATATAGTATAATATAATATAACATAATATAATATAATATAATATAATATAATATAATATAATATAATATAATATAATATAATATAATATAATATACTATAATATATCATAATAGCATATATTATATCATAATAATATAATATAATATAATATAAGTAATATAATATATATATATAATATAATATAATATAATATAATATATATATAATACGAAATATAATTTAATATAATAGAATAGCATATAATAGAATAGAATAATAGAATAGAATATATCATAATATAATATAGTATAATATAATATACACAATATATAATAATATATAATGTATATATATAATATATATATATATATATATATATATATATATATATATATATATATATAGAAGGCGGCCCGACGGCCTGCCCCCCCCCCCCCGCACCGGGCACCGGGAGCGTGCGGAGGTTCGCCGTCGGGGCCGACCGCCGACCTCTCGGCGAGGCGTTGCCGATGCCGGCTCGACGTGCCCCGCCCCCCCCCCCCTGGGCTCACGTCGGGCCTGTCCCTCGACAGGTGGAATACTCCAAAATAGCGTTTAAAAAAACTCGGGGGTGGACAGAACCCCCAACAGTGACACGTCGATTAGTGAATTGTCCGATTTCGGTTCTCGAGAGGGCGCCCTGGCCGTTATTTTCCAGGCTTGCGCCCGCCAGGTTTGGGCCTCAGGTCGTTTTCACTAAACCACGTTTTACTAAAGGGGGGTCTGTCCATCCCCGAAAAATAGCGTTTAAAAAGAAACAGTCAGGGGACGAGGTTTCCACCATTTCTGTGTTTTTTTGTCATTTGGGGGGTATTTCTAGTCTGGGTCCAGAATCCGCCTGTAGGGGGACGCCCGACCTAACCCTGAGCTGGCCCCCTCCCCCAGCGATTCCCCTCGGACGGGGGCCCTCAGTCAGGCAGTGTAGAAGGGTTCTGACCGGCCGTTGGGCCCACCAAGGAGTGTTACAGCACTCTGTTGTGGTGTGTTCGATGTCTTCTGGGTGCGTCTCTGGCTCAGACAGTCGTGTTTCGATGCATCGGCTGCATGTTCCCAGAATCGTTATCTGAACACCATTTGGCTCTAAAGAACATGCTGTCGGTCACGTTGGTTTAGCGTGTCGCTCTGACAGTTTGGGCCCACCACGCCTCGGCGCAACACGCCATCCACTTCGGGCCCCCCAGCGTCAACGTCCCGAGCGTTTCCCAGCCTCCCGCCACGCGGAGCGACGCGACACACGATCAGCTTGCAGGCCACAGGGTGTCGCCGGGGCCGCCGCCGCGACACGCTATCCAAGCATTATTGGCCGCATGTTTTTCATATAGATATATAACAAAAAGACGTGTTTCGTTGTTCGGACATTATTTGGCTCTATCAACATGTCCTGCCAGACCCATCGGAATGCCAGAGGAGGAGGATGAGGAGGAGGAGGCGGAGGAGGAGGAGAAAGAGGGGGAAGGATGAGGATGAGGAGGAGAAGGAGGAGGAGGAGAAGGGGCAGGAGGAGAAGGAGAAGGAGGAGGAGGAGGAGAAGGGAGTGGATGATGATGATGATGATGAGGAGGAGGAGGAGGAGGAGGAAGAGGAGGAGGAGGAGGAGGAGGAGGATAATAATGATAATCATATGGACAAGCAGAAGGAGATGGAGCGAGCAGGAGGAGGAGGAGAAGGAGGAGGAGGAACATGAGGAGAATATGGAGAATGAGGAGGAGGAGAAGGAGGAGGAGAAGGGGAAGGAGGGGGAGGAGAAGGAGAATGAGAAGGAAAAGGAGGAGGCGGAGGAGGAGGAGGAGGAGTAGGAGGGGGAGGGGGGGAAGGGACGGTCGGTCCCTGCCCAAGACACAGAGACGCCCAGAGCGCCTCCGAAGCGACCAGCGGCGTCGCCCTCGGGGCGAGGGCCCTCGGGGGGCGGCAGCCGCGCTCCTCGGCCCGGGGGCGGAGCGCTCGGCGGAGCACGCGGCGGCCTACTGGAGGGGGACCCGCGTGCAGGCGGCGGAGGATCGGGTCGGGAAGGCCAGGGGGGTCAGGGCGATCGCAAGCATGGATCAAGGGGGCGTGGATCAGCGACGGGTCCCGCTTCCACGGGGAATCGCGGCTCTCCGCCGCCGAGCGAGGCGGCACCGGCCGCATTCTGGGGAGGGCACCTCCCCCGATCCGTGGATCTGGCGACCGCGCGCCAAGCCCATGGATCGCGAGTCCATGTTTGCGCGCCCCCGAGGGGGGGGGGGGCGCTCCGTGGTCGACGGGCGGGGCGTCCCGAGGGGCAGGGGGCCTCGGGAGAGGGAGCGCTGCAAGGGTGGCTTGGTGGACGTACGCTCTCTGGGGGGGGCGTCTCGTTCTCGGGACCCCACCCCTCGGGACCCCATCCCTGAGCCTCCGAGTCGCGCGCGGCGGGCACGTCCGTATCCGCGCTCTCGCGGTCCAGAGTCCGGGGCGCAGTCCCGCGGAGAGGCGGTCGCGCGGCTGCGTCCCGCGCGGGGCATCTGCGGCACGAGCGTCCCGTGCTCGCGGGGTCGCGGCCCAGTGGCCTGGCCCGCGAGGCCGCGGATGCGCATATGGGGATGTGTGCTCGCCCACAAGGGGTGAGATGGTCCAGGCCCCCGGATGGGGTCCGAGTAGATGGGGTCGGAGGATCGCGCCGCATCGCCGATGCATCGGCGATGCGGCTCGATGTGAAGCCTGATGTTTCTTCACGCCGGCGTCGCCGACGCATCGCCGACGTCGCCGATGTACCGTCGATGCATCGGCGACGCCTCGACGATACAACGCGACCCTCCGACCCCATCTGCTCCGACCCAATCTGGGAGACCACTTCATGGGACAAGGGGGGGCACGAGATCAGCAACGGGAGCCGATGGCCCGCCTCTTGCTGCCCGGGGTGGTCCAGAGAGGGCCTCGCTTCCGAGGGCCGCAGGAGTCGGCAGCTCTTCCTCGGCGGCGGGCGGCAGGAGGGCGGCCGAAGCTGGCGGAAGTAAAACGAGGCCACCCTTGCTGGCAGAAGGCCATCCGGAGCAATCACATGTAAGCTTGTACGTATGTGTGTATGTATGCAACTATGTATGTACGTATAGTGTTGTGCGTGTGTGCAGGCGCACATGCATGTACGTATATGGGATGTGTAGGTGTATGTCTGTGTATGTGTGTGTCCATGTGTAGATGGTATGCACATGTATATGCACTTGTATATGTATCTCCCCGTTTCGTCCGCCCCGAGAGGAGGGAAATCACCCCCTGCCGCACCTGGGCGAGAACGGCTCCATCCAGGACGGGCCCGGCATGTTTCCCCTCATCATCCTCGGTCTCCTGCTCCTCTTCCGCCGTCTTCCTCCCTTCTTTCCCTTCCTTAGAGGTAACTCCCCCTCCCCCTCCCCCTCGTTCCTCCTGCTCATCCTCCCCCTCCTCCTCCTCTCCTTCTCCTTATATAGATAACTCCTTCCTGTCGCACCCCGAAGCTGGTCGCAGGGGCGGGCTGGGCGCGTCGCCGGAGACTTCCTCACAACTTGTGATTCTGAGGCTTGAAATTTGCATTCAGTCGGGCCTGTCCCTCTACAGGAGGAATAGCCGAAAATGTTTCCCAAAAAAGTATGGGGACGATGTCGTGATTTTTGTTGACTGTGTTTGACCATCGTTCCACGATCTGTTATCTATCGTCCGAAATCCGCCTGTCTGAGGACATGCCCGACCTCAAATGTTTCCATAGCTTCACAGGTGGAGGACGGTCCGTGTTCAAACTGTGGCTCTCGCCTTCGCGCCACGAGCACTCGCTCTCAGAACCTTGCGGGGACTTCACGGGCGGAGGGCGGTCCGTGCTGATCACGTCGTTCTCGCTTTAGCCTTCGCGCACGCTCGGTTCAAAAGCGTGCAAGAGCTTCACGGATGGAGGGCGCCTCCCTTTCAAAGTGTGGTTCTCGCCTGAGCGCCGCGCGCGTTCGTCTGAAACGCTTGCAAGAAATTAACGGATGGAGGTCGGCTTCTTTCCAAAATGTGGTTCTCGCCCTAGCGCCGCGCACATTCGTCTTAAAGCAACGCCAAGGGTTTCCATGGCGAGCGTCCCAGCAAAAATGCGCTGGCATGATATCGCAATGACAGGGCACAGCCGTCACGTTGACTCGCGTTGCTGAAGTCCTAGGAATGGCCGTCTGGCAAAATTCAGGATCGTCAAAAAGCAGCAATAGCTGTTTGTCGCAGCGCCGAAGCCCCAGAAATGGCGTTATTGCACAATCCCAGATGTGAAAACGGTTGTCTTTCAACGGGGCATTTCCCTCAGCGGAAATGAGTCCGTGTAGGAGCCTATACAGAGGAAAGTTGGAAGGAGGGTTTACTGCAATATCGTTGATGCGTCTTGGGTTTACACTGGTCCTCCTCCACCTCCCCCTCCCTCCCTTCCTCATCGGTCTAGTTATCGTCATCCTCCCTGCTCTAGCCTCATAATCCTTCCTCCTTCCGTCCCTTCTTTTCTCTCCTCTCTCTCTCTCTCTCTGTCTATCCCTCCCTCTCACTCTTTCTCTCTCTATCTCTCTTTCTCTCTCTCTCTCTCTCTCTCTCTATCACTCTCCCTCTCTCTCTCTCTCTTTCTTTCTCTCTCTCTCTCTCTCTCTCATATATATATACATATATGTGTACGTGTATATATATATATGTATAGATATCGCGCGCTCTGTCCACCCAGGTCCTCTCCGATCCCCTCCTTCCCATGCTCATCACCATCACCATCAGCAGCAGCATCATGATCATCATGATTACATGTGGTATGATGAATTTCATTGGCCTTAGCATGCTAGTATTATGAATAATAACATCGCCACAATAACAATAACAAAAACACGAGCAACAATACTGAATATTTGATCATCAAGCTAATTCGAACAAAACTAGTCAGAATAACCAGAAGAAGAAGAATCGTCAGCATCATCACCCTCATCCTTACGAGCAGCACCATCATCATAATCAGTATCATTAGCATCAGCATGAGCATGATGATCATCAGCATCGTCATCATCATCATGAGCAGCAGCATCCCCATCAGAGTCTCATTACCATACAGCTCCTCACCGCCCCCACCTTCTGATCCTCTCTCGCATCATCCATATAAAGTTAAATCATCACGAGCATCCTCATCCGGTCCCTCCTCATTCTCCTCATTACCATCATCATAACCATCATGTGTGTCTCCCCTATTCCTTCTCTCGTCCTCGTCCTTTCCCTCTCCAGTCATCCTTCCATAATCCCCCCCTTCGATTACTCCTCCTCATCCTCATCCACATCCTCCTCCTGCGCCTCCCCCTCCGCTTCCTCCACCTTTCCCTCCTCCTACTACTACTCCTCCTCCCCCTTCACCTCTTCTTCCGCCCCTTCCATCCATTTTCCGTATGCATATAATTTTCCCTGTCGCGTTTCGAGGCGTGCCGGTATGGCGGGCCGGGCGTTTTGCTTGAGACTTTCTCGCCACGTGTGACCCCTAAGATGAAAATGTACAACAGGTTCACGGATGGAGGGCGGGTGGTTTTCAACATTTGGCCTTCGCCTTGGCGCCGCACACATTCTGATCAAATTATTGCACGAGCATCACGGATGGAGGGCGGGCCGTTTTTGACCGCGCACGTTCGTCTTATAAGAGCGCATGAACTTCGCGCGTGGAGGGCGGGCGGTTTTCAAAATGTGATTATCGGTTTGGCGCTGCGGGCAATCCTTAGTAAAGTTATCATGAGCTTCACGGATGGAGGATGGCTCTTTTTTTCAAAAGTGGCTCTCGCCCCAGCGCCGCGCAGATGTGCTTCATGACCTTACATCAGTCTTGGCGGACGTCCTAGAAATGGTGTTTCGGCAGGCTGTAGGGGCTTCCAGGGCGCCACAGTCACGTGGATTCGCGGTGCTGAAATCCCAGGAGCAGCGTTCTGGCACGAGTCCGGATCATCAGGGCCCAACTATAATGTGGATCTGCGGCGCTGAAATCCCAGGAACGGTGTTCTCGCACGGTGCAGGATGTTCAGTCGGTTGTCGAGTCTTTTGCCAGAAAATCCTCACACCCTGACAGAAGGGTATGGTCCTTACTTACCTGGGTCTCTTACCTCGTGGGGTCTTTTCTCTGGGGTCTTGTTGACAGATGGCCCTTTCACGAAGTCATACAACTTTCTTAGAACATCCGTCATGTTGACATACGGTTGGGTAGCGATACGCGCGTTGGGAGGCAGGCGCGCGCACTTTTTACCGATGAGGCGCAGATTGCGCCCAATCCTCACAAGTTGTACTGGAGCCAAACGCGCGGAAACTTGCGCGCAGGCTCGTGCAAAAGACATGCGGAGGGAGCGAGGATAACGACTTGTCTTTCAAAGAGGCACTTCCTTCAGTGGAACAGTATCCTTGTAAGGACCTGTGAAGAGGAACCTTGGAGGGAGGGTGTATTGCACCATCGTTGGTGGGTCTTGGGTCTACATCGGTCCTCTTACTCCTCCTCCTCCTCCTCCTCCTCCTCTTCCTCCTCCTCCTCCTCTTCCCGAGGTGGGGCGCAGCCTCTCTCCCTCCCTTGACTTCCCTCTATGGGCTGTGAACCTCCTCTCCCTCCTCCTCCTCCTCCTGCTGCTGCTATCGGCTGATTAGGTGTTATTCTGAAGCCGTTCCCAGCCCTGCCCCCCCAAAACAGGGAGGCAGGTCCAGTGTGGAAAGGCGGCGCCACTAGCCGAAAGGGGGGGCTACCCCGGGAGGCGAGAGAGGCACGCGGAGGGGGACGCAACAGGAAGAACAAGGGAGGGAAATCACGCACGACGAGGCGGGGGAGAGGAACGAGAAGCGGTCGCTAGGGGCACAAACGCAAGGTGAATCGAGGGGCACAGGGTGGAAGGGGACGTGGACCAGAAAACAAGGCAAGCGGGGCGCTCCAGCCGCGAGGCCCTCGTGGCAGCTCCAGGCGAGTCCGTCTCCTCCGTCGCCCCCCACCTTCCTTGCTGCTCTGATCTTCTCAACCCCCCAAGATTACTCCAGATGTCGTAATAAAAGGGAGGGGGTCTCATTTCGGGGGAGGGGGTCTCTTCCAGGCTATCTTGGAGGGCCTGGGGGGTCTGGGGACGATGTTTTGGAGGGTTCTCCCACGGGGGAGGTCTGAAATGGCTTGTCTTGGAGGGTCCAGACCCCCTCCCTTTACTTCACCTTCACTGGCCCAACTGCGGTGGACGGAAATTCGCCCCTGTATCGGTGGCGGCGGGAAGAAGGGTGAAACCAGTCTGGTCTGACATCGGCACAGGGGGTGAGGTGGGCCGCGGTGGGTGATCCCCCTGGACAAGGCGACGGCTGAAAGGTGGGGTGTCCAGGGCGCGCCTTGGCGTCACTTCTGACCCCGCGAGTCGCCACGCGACCTCGCGTGGACCAGTTAAGTGGCAGGGGGATGTGGCCCAGAGGGACAGAAGTGAGTTCTGAGGCGCGTGTGGTATATGAAGCGCATACTCGCTAATACGACAGCACTGTCCGACGGTAGGCTGAAGTGGGTTCGAAAATGGCTCGTGCATCTTCTGAACTGATCATGGAATGTAAGCGAGATGCGGCGCCAGGAGTTCTGGCGGCAGGCTGGCGGTAGCAAGCGCTGCAGACTATGGGCTGGACCACCAGAGCAAGACCCTTACTGCTTATAATGGTGAAGAAAGTATGTTGATGCTGAAGCCGTTGCCGAGAGAGAAGGGAAGGTGGAGAGGATAGGATGTAGAGGGCGAGGCGAGGCGGCGAGGCGCGGCGGCAACGCGGAGTGATGGGAAAGACAATGGTAAGCTTTCTTCGGGCTCTTGGACCCCATGCTGCTGTTAGCTTGCTCTTTTCCTGCAGGTGGGTTGCTCTGTTCGGTCCCAAGCGGCTTCTGGTGGCCCCGTCACCGTCGTCCTTGGCTGGTCAGGGAAACTTGGCAGCTTCAGGGGTGGGGCGCGCGACTGGAACGTCTGGTGTTGTTCGGGCTGCGGATGTACTGTACAAGTCGGGGTGCGGACTGAGTGCGGGGCACATGCACAATCGTGACCGCACCGTGCTGTGAACTGTAGACTTACCAGCTCAAAACGAAACGCCGTCATTTTGTGTTTCAGGGGAGGTGGGGGCATATAGGAGAAGGAAAGGAAGGTGGACCGTGCGACAGTGCGCTGGGAAAGTCTACTCTCTGCCCCAGGTTACTGGTGAAATGTGTCGATGCCGAATTGTGCGGAACGCGTTCTCCGATGAAAGGATTGATGCGCAGTAAGAAAGGTGGCATGTAGCGTGAAGAAGGAGAGACATGAAAGGAAAGAGGGGAATGGAGATGAGGCTTCCTCCATGCAGGCTGCCTGCCGGGACTCGTCTGGCAGGTTCGCTGTCGCGGACTGTGGGAACGAGACTCTGCCGCCCCCCGCCTCATCCTGATATCACCCCGTCCCCTCCAGCACGTGATTCCTCATAGTAGCCGTTGCGGTGAGAAACGCAGGTGGGTGGCAATCGGCGGGCGCGGCCGTCGAGCGGCGCTCCAGCTCGATCCTACCTCGAACCCCGCTCCCCCCATCCATGCTCCAAACACAACCCTCCTGGAACCACAAGAGCAAGAAGGACGAGGGAGGGAGGAAGGGAGGCGGGATGAGGGTAAGTTGGGAGAGGGCCTCTCACGGGCGGTCTCCTGGGAGGTCGAATCGGACTCTGCGCTTCGAGCGTTCTGGGACCGTCCTCCCTCGGAGAGGTGGCTCGCGCGGCCCCGTCGCTGGACCTCGGTCGTGCTCCAGTGACGGCCCTTCGGGCTCGAGTTCGGCGGTCAGGCCCAGCGTCGTCGCCTTCTCGGGGTCAAATTTCCGGAGCTGGTCCAGCCGTGGCGAGAGGTGGGGCCGCCGAGGGGGTCCCGAGGGTGGGTTCCCATATTTTTGGGGGGGCCCGAAGCCGGGTCCTCTCCGGGATGGAGCGCCCACAGGGGGCTCTGTCCAGTGACCGTCCGGGCGGTTCATCTCGAAGGTGTTCTGGGCGTGGCCGAAGTGCGAGCTATCCTGGTAGAGCATGTCGGCAGATGGGATGCACGACGGTAGCACAAGGCCCCCGGAAGCCGGAGCGCGGACGCCATCAGAGTTGCCGAGATGAGCGGGGACGAAAACAGACGCTTTTGGTCTGAGCGTGAGCTCGGCGTAGGGTTGCGACCAACCGCCGGGCGGGGTCTTGGGCTGCCACGCCCTGCCGCCCGAGGGTGAAGGCCAACGGTGGCGAATATCCCCGGTAGGCCTGGCGTTCATCTGGGAAGAGATGGTTATGAGCTCGTCCACTGCGACGCGCCCTCGACGGGCTGCGTATGCCAGCGTGGGTAAGCTTTCTGTAAGAATGAGCCTCGAGCTGTGGAGGCCTCGGCCCGTATGGGCCCGTAGAAATCTCGTTGCCGATGTTGTTGTAGTCCTCGTTCATGATGCGGCGCTGGCTCTGTGTCGCGGGCGTCCTCTCCGCCATGGCGGGGCCACGCCTGGGCGCGGCCCGGGCGGGGCGTAGTCCCCGGTTCCTCTCAGAGCGCCTCTCCTCCTCTTCCTCCTCCTCCTCCTCCTCCTCCTCCTCCCCCTCCTTCTCCTCCTCCTCCTCCTCCTCCTCCTCCTCCTCCTCCTCCTCCTCCTCCTCCCCCTCCTTCTCCTCCTCTCCTTCGCCTCCTCCTCCTCTCGATCGGCGTCGGCCCGTGGGCTCAGCACGTCGCGGTTGGAGCCGCGCCGCCCGCGACCCAAAGCCCCCGCCCCCGCAGGACTGGGGCGAGCCGCAGACGCGCGAGTGCCTGGCCTTCTACATCGACAAGGCGCTCGAGGGCGCCCACCGCGAGCGCGTGCTGCAGGCCGAGGCGGAGCGCGACGCCGCCGCCGCCGGCGCCGTCGGCTCGTCGGTCGCGCCGCGGGCGGTGGTGACCTTCCTGATGATGGAGAACGCGGCGCGCACCATGCACCAGGACCTGCTGCTGTCGCTGCACTGCCTCCAGGCGTTCTTCGGGGGCTACCCCGTGGTCGTGTTCCACACGAACGGCTCGACGGAGGCGGAGCTCGGTCGCCTCCGCTCGTCGGCTCCAGAGGGCCTGCGGCTGACGCTGGAGCGGGTGGACCTCGGCTTCCCCGCGGAGGTGGCGGGGGCCCCCGGCGGCCCCGACGCCTTCCTCGGCCCGCCGGCCTGCATGATGGACGGCCAGCACTGGTGGGCAGAGACCCCCCTGGGAACGGCCACCAGCCCCCCACCTCCGCTCGCCGCTCCCCCGCCCGCCCTCCTCCACCACGTCCGCCCTGATTGCCGAATTCCCCTCACCACTACACCCCCAATGCTCGTCGTCATCGTCATCCGCTTCTGCTCTTCGGCATGCCATCGGAAGCTCCCGTGGCGTCAGCATGCACGCGCTTGCCCACAGTCAGGAGCGCCACGGGATGCCAAGCGCGGCACGACCTCGCCTTGCCCCCACATCTCCGATATCTCCGTGCTCTCCACCTTGGATGTGTGGGGTGGGGGCGAGGTTTTCCTCTTACCTTCCTGGAATACTCTGGGCCCGGTCCGCTATTTCCGGGACGACTGAAAAAAGTTGGTGGGCAGGCATCACTTGTCGAGCTGCTCCCCCCCCGCGCGCGCCGCCGCACGTGGGCGGCGAGGGCAGCGGCGAAGACGCGGCGGCGGCGGTCCTCGATCTGCCTGGGTCCTCGAGCCTCGCTCCTCGGTCGATCCTCGATGCTCGACGCCCCTCGTCCTCCGAAGCAGCGAGGCAGCCCCGCCCCCGGTGCCCCTCGGGGCCCGCGCGCGCGGCAGACCTGATGGGCCTGTTTTCCACCACCACCACCATAAGTTGGAGGGTCCTCCTCCTCCTCCTCCTCCTTCTTCCTCCTCCTCCTCCTCCTCCTCCTCCCCCTCCACCTCCACCTCCACCTCCACCTCCACCTCCTCGTCCTCCTCCTCCTCGTCCTCCTCCTTCCCCCCTCCAACTTATGGTGCTGGTGGTGGAGTACAGGCCCATCAGGACCCGCTCCGAACACGTATTCGGGGTCGCGCCCGGCAGGGGGGATGCCCAGGGGGGGGGGGGCAGTGCGGGGCGCGAGGGGGGCCGCCTCTCCCGCGGAGCGCCTGCGGCTTGTGAGCCGAGGGGCAGCAGGAGGTGCCGGGCGGGGGGGGGTCTTGGCTTTTTGCGTTGTCCTTCGGTATCGTTGAACCGATCCCCATCCCCAGCCCCTTCTAGACCCCCATTAAATTACCATATATCCCCATCTAGGGGGGTACGACCTATATCCCCATCTAGGGGGGTAAATCGGCCAGTGGGGCCCAGGCCACGCTGCTGGGGATGGGGATCGGTTATACGATATGCAGTCTCTCGGTGTGATCGTTGCTTTGTATTGCTTTGACGTATCTGTTGCCTTTGACCATGTAGCGCTTATAATTCTGCTCTCGAGATTGAGAGCCTTCAGCATTCCAGACTGCATTATGTTTGCGTTGAAGAGTTCGTTGCGCCCGCGGAGGGGGGCAGGGGGGCGGGGGGGGGGCAAGGGCCCAGGCCCCCTCGCGTCGTGGAAGACGGGTTTTGTGTTCGCTGGGGTCGGTCTCCAGGGGCCCTTGCCGGGCCTCGGGACCGTGAAAAGAAACCGAGGATAAACAAAATGATCCCGGGGAAGGGGTCCAGACCTCTGGAGCTCGGCGTGCTGGAAAAGTCACGACGTCGGAGTCCTGGAGGGGGAGAGGGGAGGGAACGGGACGGGAGGTCGTTGGGGGTGGGACTCATGCTCGTTGTCTGCCCCGATCCTCGTGGGCGCACCGCCGTGCTCTGGTCACCAGGTGTGTCGCTCTGGCGGTCCAGGCACCTCCCGTGGTGCATCCTGGCATTGGCTGGCCACGAAGTTTGACAGCTCCACCTGTTAAACACATGTTCGCGCAGTAGTCAAGATCGGAATATCGCCTGAGCTGTCTCAGAATTCTGTGGCCCCAATCCCCACATCTGCATGTGTTTCGCAAGGGCTGCAAAGACGGAGGGCCACTCGTGCTAAAATGCTGGCTGTCGCATGGTTTCGTTTCAGGCTGCAAGATCTGGAATGCCCAACATTACAATGGAAACCCGTGCCAAGAAACACCCTGCTTGCCTCCAGGGTGCCCTGGGTTTCTTGGATTTCGATGGTTTTGCTGTGGAAAGCGTGATGCTCCCACACCAACAATTAATGGACGTCCTGGGGTCTCGGGGTTGGGTTTCTTCTGGAAGGTTTCTTGTGGTCGAACTTCTATTGTAAGCGCACGTATGGCGGGCCGCTCACGTTCAATGGATGGTTCTCGTTTTGAGATGTTCCCGCGTCCAGTGATCGGGAAAAGTAGATTGTTCCACAGCCGAGCGGGTGGAGGGTCGATCCGTTTTGAATCTGGTCTCTCGTTGGGGACCTACGGTCGAGCAAATGATTAAGAAACCTCCTCCCGAAAAGTTGGGCCAGCGTTTCTTAGCCAACTTGCCGGAAAGCTGGCCCGGTGATTTGAGCATGCTCGCCTTTCCAGCGTTCACGGCAGAAATGGGCCCAGGCGTGTTCGAAGAAATTTCCGTGAAGTTGGCCCGGCTGTATGAGTTGATAGTTGTTTTGATCATGGTTTCGGCTGTATGTCACTAGAGCTCGACAGCTACTGGTGGACTACAGTTCCTGTTCCCTAGTAATGAATATCGGTAAATACTTCCGTGCACCTCACTGCCATGGGAAATCATGCATAACAGAGTTTCGGATGTTCCAGGTCTGCGCGGATGCATGGACGGCGGCTCCTCTCGAAATCGTGGTCTCGCCTCGGCACCGCTCTCATGCTTACGTGAACCCCACACCCACACACCGCCTGCACTGGTGAATGGCGGTGCAGCCTGTCTGGCCTCTTACACCTCGGCTGGCTGCGGCCGAGTGCCCACCCGATGGCGGATGGCCACGCCAAGACCCGATACGGGAACCATTAGAAGAACAAACAACCTGTGTCAGCATGAGTTGTTCTTTGCTTCGCGCGGATTTTTCGGAGCTGCGCAGGACCCCCCCTCCCTGGCGCGAGGAGCGCGCCAGGGGTGGCGCCAGAGGCTCGATCGGACGGGACTCGGGGGCGGAGTGGCGAGGGGGGAGGAGCAGGAAGAGGAGGAGGAGGCGAAGGAGGAGCAGGAGGAGGAGGAGGAGGAGGAGGAGGAGGAGGAGGAGGAGGAGAGGAGAGGAGGAGCGGGAGGAGGAAGGGGAGGAAGAGGAGGAGAAGAAGGAGCCGGAGGAGGAGGAGGAGGAGGCGGAGGAGGAGGCACCGATCGAAGAAATCCCTGCGGAGCTCCGAAAGTTTCTGCTTCTGCAGTTGTTGTTCCTTCACTCGAGCTGCGGGCACCCGCCCGCGCAGGGCCACAGGGGCCCTCCACCTCCCGGGGCGGGCGCTCGCCTGTGGCATCGGCGAAGCGTGCGTTGGGATCCTCGCCCTGGGTCCTCCTTCTCTTCCGGCTGCTCCTCCTGCTCCTCCTCCTGCTCCTCCTCCTCTTCTTCCTCCTCCTCCTGCTCTTCCTCCTGCTCCTCCTTCTGGGCCTCCTTCTCCTTCTCCTCCTCCTCCTTCTCCTCCTCCTCGTCCTCCTCCTGCTCCTCCCTCCTCCTCCTCCTCCTCCTCCTCCTCCTCCTCCTCCTCCTCCTACCCCTCCTGGTCCTCCTCCTCATCCTCATCCTCCTCCTTCTCCTCCTCCTCCTCCTACCCCTCCTGCTCCTCCTCCTCCTCCTCCTCATCCTCCTCCTTCTCCTCCTCCGTAGCCATTTTGGCTCAAGGCCAAAATGGTTACTTCTGAACTGCCTTTGCGGGGTAGGCTCCCTTTCAGTTTCCAATCCGTCAGGACTTTCATGCGTGCATCCTTGGCCCCACGAGGACTTGGCTGCTTCCTGGCCGCCGCGCTGATCAACTGCTGCTGCGTGCTGCTTATTTCATCATGGATTCCGAGTCGGATCGCGGTCGCCGCAGCGCCAGCAGGAGTGGCGGAGCTCCCGATTCGTCACGGGATCCACCTCAGCGCGCTCGAGACGCGCCTCGTCGCCGACACCAACGGCCTCCTCAAGACTATGACCGACGTCCTGCTCGCGCGCCGCAGCCACGGGATGACCGTCGTAGCGGCTCGGGGCGTGCTGGAGACCCTCCACCTGGCGGCGCCACCGCGCCCCTCCCCGTCGCAGACATGGCCGACATCGCTGCAGCGCACGACACCGCCGCCACGTTCCCCACCCAGGAACGTGAAGACCCGCTTGCCCGTGACGATCCCTGGCGTGGTCGGCCTGCCGCAAGCTCTGGCGGACCTGGTCCTGCAGCCGCGGACGCTCGATCGGCACCTCATCCGCCAGCTGACAAGCTCACGGCGCTCACGGAGTCGCTCTACGAACAGCTCACGGCGCACGTGGACACCACCCTCGCCACCTTCAAGGCCGACACAGCTCGCACGGTGGCTAAGGCGATTCACGACTCGCAGTCCATCCTGGAGCGGCGGCTCGATGGCACCGAGGGCGAGCTTGCCTCCCTCAAGCAGCGGATCTCCGCCTCGGAACGCGCCCAAACCGAGACCGAGAAGGCCGTCGACGACCTTCAAATAGCCTTGGCGATGGCGGAGTCTCAAGTCCCCATCCCGGACCTGGTTGCAGAGGCGGCGTTCGACCGAGCGCCTGACCCTGCCGTCTTCTCCATCGGCTGCGCCGAGCTCGTACCCCCTCGTCAAGTTCAAGATGCTCTTGCTACGTGGTTCGCAGAATCGGGCGTGGACTGGTCTCATGCGTCATTGGCGGGAGACGTTCCTGCAAAGCGTTTCACGGTCCGTCTTCTTGGATCCCCTGCCGTTGCAGCTCCCCGTGCAGCTGCCCTCGTCCGCGGCCTCCGGCTTCCGGGCGGCACCTGGCGACAATTCCAAGTTCAGGCCGTCACTGGTCAGGCGATCCAGCTATACGCCAGCCCTGATCGGAGTCCTCGCCAGAGTCGACGGGAAATTCAAACTCGCAGACTGCATAAGCTCCTGGAAGAAGCACTTCCCCGTGCCACCCTCCGCCCCTACAAGCAGAAAGGCCGTGTTTCCTGTGATGGAATCCCGCTCGCACGCCTTGAGGTTGGCTCCACCGCCGCCGCTGAGACCAAGGTTGTCTGGAACCTCAACCTGGCGCGTGAGACCGAGCTCGACACGGCTGCCATCGACAAGGCTTTCCATGACTTCTTCTCGGAGGACAAAGGCATCGCGTGGGGGTAACATTCTCCCGCGACGCGGCAAGCTAGCGCTCCGCTTTGTGTCGTGGAATGCCCAGGGTCTCCTCACGGTCAACATCAAACGTAGAAAGGCCAAGCTTGCGGTTCTTGCGCCCCTGTTGCGCCGAGGATACATCATTCTCCTACAAGAAGTTCATGGCGATCTCCTGCGCCTTCGTCGTGCTCTCCAAGCGTGCGCTGTCGCCTACGACATTCTCCACAACGACAGCGGCGACCCCAGCATAGGTGGTACGGTGTTTCTGGTACCTCGGAGCGATCACTTAGCCGTCGTTGACCTCTCTGTTGCTGAGGGCTGCCCTACACCATCAGCCTCTTCCGACTGCTCCTCTTCTGCGTCTTCTTCCTCTTCCGACTCGACTCCGCCCCCCGTTCACCCCCTAGTGTCCGCCCCTTCCCTTCCCGTGCGGCCCCCCGCCTCCGCCCCCGACGGACGCCGCGGCCTTCCCCACGACTCCTACACCTCTCCATGCTCTACGTGGACCCGACGGCCCGTCTTGGCCACTGGGCGTCGCTCGACCGCACCTGCACTCCACACAGCACACGCTCTTTCATCGCGTGCTGGTCCCTGGCTGGGTCCATACCCTTGAGTTTTTCTGTGGCACGGCATGTTGCGCGGTTCTCCTGAATGTCCACAACCACGATCTCACTCCGCCGCAGCGACGGGTGGTCTTCGATTATTGCCGGGAGGCGCAGCGCTGGGCAGCCCCTTCTCCACGCATGCGGCTCTTCCTGGCGATCGGCGACTACAACGTCCACGATGAGCCAGCCTCCAACGTTCACCGTCCTGGCCCGCTTCAGTCCCCAGCTCCTGGCGGTCACCAACATCAGCAATCGGCGTGGCGTCGTCTTTTTGGCCAGATGACGGAAATCTCTCCTGGCGAACCCACCAGGTATGACCCACGCAATGCCACCAAGACGCGCATCGACCGCATCTTCTGCAGCCTTCCAGCGCATGCACTACCTAACCTCCAGCTGCAGGTGCATATACACCAGGACGCGGCGACCCTGAGTGACAAGCGTCTCAGTGATCATACCGTGCTAGCTCTTCATATCGATCATGCTCCGCACAAGCTGGCGCACGTGCAGCCGATCCCCGATTTCTTGTTCTCGCTTCCGCTGTTCTCGCGGTTCTTCGAGCTCTTGGCTCAACACTCTAACGATGTATCTGAGTCTCCGACGCTGCAATGGCGGGCGATCAAAGCGAACATGGTGGAAGCAGCACGGCTGACGGGGAATCATCTGTTACAGCTTCCTGGAGGTTCTCGCGCGCAGCTGCCCCTTGAGGCTCGCCTCTTGGTCTACCGGTCGATCTCGCGTGCTGTCTGGCGACAAGACGCGAGGCTTGCCGCTACGCTCAGCACTCTTGACGCGCACGCCCAGCATCACCTCGTTATAAACGGCGCGGAGATCAGTCTCCAGGATGAAGGCGAATTCGCAGAGCTTTCGCAGAAGGCCCACTATGCGCATTACATTTCGCAGAAAAAGACCGCCGCTGCTGCAGCCCAGCGCGCTGCCCACCATGGCCGCAACATGGAAGCCGCTCACCAGCAGAAACAGGCACGTGTTGCCCAACGGCGAGCTCGTGCTTGGGCGCCTTTTGCCAGAGTTCTTCAACTGGTTGGCATTCGCATCCCTGACGGACATGGCATTGCCACATCACCGCATGACATGGTACAAGTTCTTCAAGCTCATTGGTTGCCTATCTTCGCCCACAAGGATGTAGACCGCCGTGCCACGGCATCTTATGTTCGACAACACGCACCTTGCCTTCCGCAGCCACCCGACCTTACCCTACCCACGCCAGCGGCACTGCGCAGAGCTGTCCTACGAGCACGCGTCTCTGCACCTGGCCCTGACCGCCTGCCATATCGAGCCTGGCTGGCTGCGCCGCGCGCCCTCGACGCTCTTCACGACGTCTTTTGGGACATGCTCGAGCACGGTGCAGCTCCTGCGGGGTTCAACGACTCCATCTTCTCCTTCATCCCGAAAGGCACGGAGGACGACGATGCAGCCGTCTGCACGCGCCTTCCCGACATGCTTCGCCCGAGTTCGCGCAAGAACGCCGACAGCAAGATCTGCGCCGCCGCGCTGAACGAGCAAATGCGCATCCCTGTAGAGAAGCACGCTCACACGATTCAGCAGGGCTTCATTAGAGGGCGCAACTTCTGCCGTAACGTCGTCGTCATGGATGTTCTGGGACGCGCCGCAGGCCTCCCTCCCGACGCCAGCACCCGGCGCCCTGTACAAGTGCTCTTTGACGTAGCGGCCGCCTTCCCATCCCTCCGCAGGCACTGGCTCTTCGCCGCGCTGGAGAACTTCCAGTACGACCGTGGATTCATGCACGCGGTTTCTGCATTATACCATGACTCCCACGGCGTTATTTTGCTCGACGGCGACTTCCATTACATCTGTCCGCTCTCGGCGGGCGTTGCGCAAGGATGTCCTCTCTCGGGCACGGTGTGGGCGATCGCCATGGACGTCGTCATCAGGGCCATAGACCAACAGCTTGCCGGGCCAGAGGTGGGCACTGCGGCAGCCTGCGCAGACGACCTGGGCCTCCACCTCAACAGCCTTCAAGCTCTCCCCCCACTGCACTCCGTCTTCGACGCGGCCTACAACTATGCGCATCTTCGGCTGCATCCCAAAAAGTGCGTGATCATACCTTTGTGGACGACAACCACACCTGCTGTACAACAGGAGGTTCGTGACTTTCTGGCCGACCACGCACCGGCCTGGCAGCACTTCGACGCCCAAGGGCTTGGCACGTACCTGGGTGCCAAGATCGGGCCCGCGGCAACGATACAGAGCCAGTGGCAGAGCCCCTCTGCGAAGTGGTGGGAACGCCTCGTCGCTCTTTCCATTACGGGCGCGCCCACGGACGTTCTTGCTCGGGTTTACCAGTCCTCCTGCATTACTGTCTTTGGATACCTGATGCAGTTCTTTGAACTTCCTCCGGAGGTCCTTCGGCGTGAGATCCATGCGCTGCATCGTGCACTTCGGCTTCCTCCGAATTCTATGCGGCTCACGGACATCCTCTCCCTGGCATCCTGGTTCCCTTCATCAACACCTAAAGGCTTGGGCCCCTACAATTTCGCATCGCTCTGGCGGGCAGCTTCCTTCACCATCAGCGACTGGAGACCGCTTCTACACCACTTTCATGATCTGGCGATGGAGCATTTGCCGATTGTCGAGCATGTTAGGGGCAATATTTCTCCGAGCTTCTGGTTGACTCCGACATCCATCGTGCAGCGCTTCGCCAACGTGCAGGACGGCCACCCACTGTCGATCATCAAGCTTGCACCTACGACACTTCGTGCTCTTATCGCCGACGTCCTGGACCAGCTGCGCAGTGCCTCTGAGGATCACGCGCGCTCGCGGTCACAACGACTTCTACAATCAGCACTAATGCAACGGGCCCATCCCGATGCGCTCTGGGTTACGATCGCAAAGCGGCTTTCGACGCGGTTTGGTCCTGAGGTGGTCCCGGCTGAGATCTCCGACCGATGGAACCATCTACGACAGCACCTTGTTGCGCTCTCTCCTGCCTGGCGCTGGGCGGTGTTAAAAACGGTCACAGGTGCATGGCACACCTCGCATAGGATGCATGTCCACCCTGATCGCTGCTGCTGCGTCTTTGGTTGCCAGGAGCCCGACGAGATATGCCACTACCTGGTCTGCCCTCGCGCTCTCCACTTGACATGCTTACCACGCACATACGCACATGCCACGCCACTGGAGCGCATCGGGCTTGGGGATGCACAGGCATACCCAGCAGACCATCGTCACGAACGATCTCTTCACAACACGATTGCCCGGATGGTCCTAACCTACTACCTGGTGCTGGAGATCAAGCACTACCCACCAACATTTGCTACTACCACCTCCTACGAGTTCCATCTCCAGATTCTTCGAGCAGCTCGCGACCGCCTTCGTCATGGGGAGGTTCCTCTCCCGACGGCAGTTGCTTCAGCACCCGATGTCGTTCCTGCCCCTGGTGCTCCTGTCGTTCACGCCACGCCCATACAGGACGAGCCTGGTACCCGGCACCATCAAAATGCACCCGGCACCCAGCACCACCAAGGTGCAGGCCCCCGACCATCCCCACCATCTACTACGATACTACTCCCTGCTGGCCCCACGACTCCTGACGACGACATGCTCGGACGACTTGCTGCCGAGCCTACGTCATTACCTGCCGTCGCCGACGGCCACGATTACAACCTTCACGCACCAGCGCGCGCTCGTGCCGCTCAGCTACCCCCACATGGTCATGAAGCCTCTGTGGATGTGCCGTCTGGGCCTCGTGCAGACCACTACGACTCTATGATTGTTGACGGCGTCTTCGTCGACACCCCGAGCAATGCAGACTACCTGATGGGCGACCTGACCTCGTCGTTCCTGCCCGCGGAGTCGTTCGGCCCGCAGCGACCGAGCGACCACGTCGCAGAGCTCCGCAACCCGCAGAGTGAGTTCAACTAAGGAGCCCCGCCGCGGCCTGCGGCTGTTCGGCTTCCTGATGGACTCGCCCCCCTCTGGCCACTGCTGCTCCTCCTTCTCCTCCTCCTCGTCCTCCTCCTCCTCCTCCTCCTCCCCCTCCTCCTCCTCCTCTTGAACCGCCTCCTGCTCCTCCTCCTGCGCCTCCTCTTGCTCCGCCTCTTGCTCCTCCTCCTCCTCCTCCTCCTCCTCCTCCTCCTCCTCCTCCTTCTCCTGCTTCCCTCTCCTGGAAATGCTGGGGGAGGGGGGCATCCGGGCCGTTGGCCGTCGGGGGGGGGGGGGGACGGCCTCCCAGGTGGTCGTCGCATCGCATGTGCGGCTGCCGATGTCCCGCGTGGCGTCCGAGGTGCCGACTGCGCGAGACGGCAGCGGCGGCGACGACCACCACGTCCACAAACAACAACGACGACAAACAGCGACCGCTACGACGACGACCACGGCAGCGAGAACCAGCAGCAGGAGGAGGAGGAGGACGAGGACGAAGACGAAGACGACGACGACGGCGACGACAACTACGACGGCGACAACGACTACGACAACGACTACGACAGTTCGGTTGGTTCAAATCGAGTCAAAATTCTGCGGTCAGCATTTCGAGGGAAAGCGCGGGTTTCGGCCGGATTGCGAAGGCCTTACGGCCAGTGCCGCCGACCTTGAAGGGGGACGACGACGACGACGACGACGACGACGACGACGACGACGACGACGACGACAATGACGACAATGACGGCGACGACAACTGCGACGACGACGAAGACGACGACCAGGAAGGGGGGGCGCGAGGAGGAACGGGGAGACGAGGGGGGGAACTCGGAGGAGATCGGGCGGCGAGGAGGATAGCGAGTAGGAGGGGGAGCAGGGAGGGGAATAGGAGCAGCAGCAGACGGAGACGAGATGACGAGGAGGAGTCGGAGCAGCAGCAGGAGGCAGAGAAGGAGAAGGAGGAGGAGGACGAAAAGAATGATATTTGGGATGATGAGAATCTGGGCGGTGGTGGTATGGAAAAAGGCCAGAAGGGGTAGCATGCGCCAGGAGGCGGATCACGACGAGCAGCAAGAGAAGGAGGGGAAGAGAAACAATATGAGTAGCAGGATGGTGGTGCTTAGGCGGAGGAGGAGGAGGAGATCGAAGACAGAGACGAGCAGTAGGAGTCTTCATGCTGCACTTCTCTGGTCTTCTGCCGATCCCTGCGCTGCGAGGTGCTGGCCAGAGAACTGGATGCACGCCACGCGCTTCTTCACGGCGGGCATGTTCCGGACGCGGACCTTTCAGCGGGGGGACTTCGATTTCTTCTTGCGCCTCGACATCGATCTCTTCTTCGTGCAGAGGCCCGCCTTTGACCCCTTCAGGCTGATGGCCACCCGTGGCTGCGTGATGATGTACGACATCTTGTCTCGGGAGGCACCTGGCTGTTACGATGGTTTCGATGAGAAGACGATCGAGTTCTTGGGCCGAAGCCAATACCGGGGCAAGGCTGATCTTGACGTGCTTCACATCGGTTCTGGGCCTGCTGCTGCTGGAGGCCAGTGGACGCTCGGGGACGCCAGGCTGTTCAGAGATGCTTCGTATTTGCGCTTCGCCGACGCGATGACTGGAGGCATCTATTCTGGCCAGGAGAAGACAGGGGGACGATCTTCCAAGGGGCGCGCCCATCTCACAGCAAGGGCCAGTGATAATGAGGGCAACTGATATTGTTCCCCCCACTCACCCACGCACCCATTCACCCACACATCGCCAACCCACCGCCCACCCGCCGCCCACCACCCACACATTATCAGCTCATGCATCTTACGCACATCTTGGGGGCATCCTTTGGGATGCGACGCCCTGGCGGGATCCACAGCCGACTGCCCATGTTGGACTTGGACTATCAGGCACACGAGCTCTCTGGATGTTTAGTTGCTACCAGGGGGGCTCAGCGCGTGTACCGAGGGGTCTTGGCAGAGAGTCCAAGGAACTGGCGAAAGTGTACACGATTTCGGTATGCGGCCAGGTTCCTGGGTTCCCGGGTCCAGTCCTTGGCGAAAGTTCATCTCTGGTTCCAGTTGGTGGTCGTGGTCCTCGTTATCCCAGAGCAGAGAGCACATAGGGTGGAGAGAGTAGAGGGAGAGAGTAGCGAAGGTAGGCAAATAGGGAAGAGAGGAGGGAGGGCCGACTGGAGAGTACGCATTGTATGAAGGAGAGTGACGAGCATTGAGCAAAGGACAGGGTGCGCAGTGCTGAGACCCCATAGCCCAGAGTCGAGAGACGAGAGTAGACAGTGGAGAGTAGAGCGTATAGGGTGGAGAGTAGAAGGGGAGGGCACAGAGCAGTCAGGATAGAGCCGAAAGTGAATAGTATAAGCCGGAATATAAAATGCAGAGGGTAAAGATCACAGAGGTACACCCGGGCGCTGTCGTTCGCTCCTTGCACGAACAGTGTGAGTACCCAGTTGCCTCCAGCCCGCCACCGTGCTAGCTAAGTTTTCTGGGTGGAAACTACTCGAGAAGCCAAGGGGGCCTGCTGGGGGCCTCTTGGGGCAGGAGGCTCGAATTCTTGGTTCGTAGTCCCACTATTGGGCGGCCCTTTTTGGGGCCCTCCTGGGCAGTCTTGAGCGCCCCTTGGGCCGTCTTGGAGCTCTCTTGGAGGCCTCTTGAGCTGTCTCGTGGGAGCCTTGGAGGCCTCTTGGGCTGTCTTGGAGCGTCGGAAGATCGAAAAGGAGGCAACCCTCCCCACAAATGAAGAGTTACGAAACAAGTGATGGTTGCTTCTCTGGGCTTTCTTGGGGGCCTTTTTTGGCCTTCTTGCCTCCTAGGCCCTCTTGGGGCGAAGGGCTGGAATTGTCGGTTCGTGCTCACCCTCCTGGGCCTTTCTGGGGGCCCTCTTGGGCCGTCTTGGAGCCCTCCTGGGCCGCCCTGCGGCCCTGGTGGGGGCCGATCCGGCCAGCTCGGGGCAGGCCTGATGGCCTCTTGGGTCGTCTGTGGGCGTCGGAAGCTCGAGAAGGCGGGACCCCGAACACACACTTTAGAAAGGCCCAAGGCGCGTCAGTGGGTGTGGCCTCTCGAGGCCCTCGTGGGACGGCTCCTGGGGCACTCTTGGGACGCCTCGGCGGCCTCGCGGGCCGTCTCGGAGCCGCCCCGGGCCATCCTGATGCCAAAGTGGTCCGTCGAGGAGCGGTGTCGGGTCGTCTTGGAGGCATCTGGGCCTCGGGTGCGCAAATCTGCAGCATTTTGCGAGAGATTGTGGCCTCGGGGAGAGAGGGGGTGATGCAGGCGCCTGGGCGCGACCGAAGAGGGGGGGGAAAGAGAGAGGGGGGGGCTTAGAAGATTGCGGACACCCTCGCATACAGCACTTGACATTCGAGCACGCCCCCAAGGTGCCAGGGGGCACGGTGGCAGTTTGTGAGTTTCTCTGGCAGCATCTGTGCATCAGTTCACCGAGCAGACATGCAGCGGCAACGAGAGGCAATGAGCAATGCGTCATCATCATGAGCGCTGCGCTGCAGCATCGTATCCCCAACGTGCGCATCCACTGTTTCAGCTCAGCACTCCTCTGCCCAGATTGCGCACGTTCATGCAGCTCGGCTTAACCACGTATCACATGCAACTCCGACCCGTAGCCAAACGATACTTGGCGCAAAAATCTCATTCGACGTAGTTCGCTTGGTTTCCCCATGATCTGAGTAAAAGCCCGTGCATGGCGTGGCTGTTCCACCTGGCCATGACTGTTCATGGTACGCTTGAGTCGTGCCTGTCCCTCTACAGGAGGAATGTTCAAAAATAGTGGCACAAAATAGTCTGGGGACGACTTTTGGATTATGGGTTGACGATGTTTGTGCGTAGTTGGGGGTATTTTTATGTGTGTTCCAAAAGCCGCCTGTAGGGGGACATGCCCGACCTAATGGTACGCCTGCCGAGGCGTACTGCACAGATCCTGGCCGCAGATTCCCCCTGGGGCGGCTGAGCTCGACAAGGCCGCGGAGAGTCGCGGCCCAGGCGCGGGCCCGTTCTTCGGCCGCACGGGCACACGTTCCGCGCTGGGGGGGGGCAGCCGCAAAAAAAAAAAGCCCGCGCGCCGTGCCCACGGGGGGCGCGGCCCGGGCAGTGGCCCCCAGGGCCTCCTCCTCCTCCTCCTCCTCCTCTCCTCCTCCTCCTCCTCCCTCCTCCTCCTCCTCCTCCCTCCTCCTCTCCTCCTCCTCCTCCTCCTCCCTCCTCCTCCTCCTCCTCCCTCCTCCTCCTCCTCCTCCTCCTCCTCCTCCTCCTCCTCCTCCTCCCCCCCTTCTTGCCCCGGGCCTGGCCCGCGAGGCCGTGGACACGGAGAGGCCTCCCGCCCACGGCCCGAGGGCCCCCGCGGGCATCCCGAGGCCCTCCGGGAGGATCGGGGGCGGCCAAGAGGGGGGCGATGACTAGGGGGGGGGGGATCTCATGGATCTCATGGCGGGGGGCCATGATACCTCCCCAGTTTAGTTGCTCTGATACGCACGGTTTGAAACGTAACACGTGCCGGGTTCAAGACGTACGTGTTCAAAACGTACGTGCTCAGTCTGCGTGTTGAGCTCCGTATCAATACGCTACGTGTTGCGTGTTGCGTATCGGGGCAGCTAAGCTCACCAGATTTCATGGCGCCTCGTCTTATTTCAATGCGTCCCTGGCCCCCCCAGGGCCGCACACGTGTCGCCGGCCATGATTTGCGCCCCCCCCTCTTGGACACCCCCCTCTCGGCCGCCCCCGAGGACACGGAGAGGCCTCCCGCCTAAGGCCCGAGGGCCCCCGCGGGCATCCGAGGCCCTCCGAGAGGAGGCCCCTACGGGCCCGACGGTCACGACGCCGACGGCGACGCCTTTCAGGCCACGCTGTCCCTCGTCTTCTCGCGGGCCCTCCCCCGTGCTCACCGCTGGGCCGACCAGCTGCTGCTGCTGCGAGGCGCGGCCCTCTTCGGGCCCCACTCCGGGGCGGCCGCCGTGCCGGGCCTGCCCCCCTCCGCGGCGACCGTCTGCCTGCGCGAGCTCTTCCCCGGGGGCGCCGGCGAGGGCTTCGTGCACAAGAAGGGCGGCTTCAACGACGCGTCGCTGGTGGCGCGCTGTGGCGCCGAGGCCGCGTTCGCCCGCGGCGGTCAAAAAGGCGCCCGAGCGCTGCGCTCGGCCACGTCTCCCATGGTGCTGCGCGCGAGTGGTCCGTCCGGCAGTCTCCGAGCCACAGAGCCCCAGGCCTCCCAGAGTCAGGAGGGAAGAAAACACACAGACACAATCAATCGTCGATTCCCAGAAGATATTGGAAGATATGGGAAGTGGGGGGGAAGACAGAAACCCAGAAAATGTAGGAAAATATGGGGAATCTTTTCATTTGTGTGTATTTATTCGTGTGTCCCAGGGCCCCTTCACAGAGAGGGTCCGAGCCGACAGGGTCGGAGGACCGCGCCGCGTCGCCGATGCATCGACGGTGCGGCTCGATGCGGAGCCCGGCTTTCCCCACGCCGGCGGCGCCGATGCACCGGTGATGCATCGACGACACGGCGCGATCCTTGGACTTCGCCTGCTTGGACCCCGTACGGAGCGCCTCCAAGAGCGGTGCTCCCGTCCAGGACATCACAAACGGCCTGGTCTGGACATGTGCCACACTCATGACCCGCAAGCGGCGCGCTCCGGTGGTTTTCATGTGGCCCAGCTTTGGCAATCTCGTGCAGAGGGGGCCTCGGATCCGGTTCGGTATTATCATGGCCGTTCGATGTTCCTCGTTGGACCAGGTCCCAGGCGAGCGACTGCCGAACAAAAATAGCGGTAACGCCTGGTGGGGTACTGTCTGCTTCCTAGGTTTACGCTCCAGGTCCCGCCTGCATACTGAAGCAAAGTGGGCAATCGACATGTCACCATCTGCTTGGGTGAACAAGTATGTGGACAATCGGCGCTGCTGTTTCAACCCGACCGTTGGGACAATTGAGTTGGGCCGCGTTTCTGATTCAGTCGGATCGCGTTAACCAACATGAACTGGCAAGTTATGGCGAGCGTTATCCCATTATCTCTGGGCCAGCAGAGCACAGACATCGCATCCGGCGCAAATCTGAAGCCCTAACGTGAGAGCCATTAGTGCTCCTTTCATCGCAGCGCCCTGTCGGGAAACCAGGCAGGAAGAGGAGGATGATTCCTCGGCGGCGTTTTTGGGAAGCCCCGTAGCCTATTGGATGCGCATTGGGGCGGTATTGAATCGGATTGGAAGCAAGTTGAAAGACGTCATAAGCCATCTTGTGCTAGGCTGTGCCATCTTGGAGGCGATCTTGGGCCATCCGAGGCCATATCGGAGCCGTCTCAGGCCAAGAAGAGCCCTCTGAGTCCCTGACACCTCGGGCCCCCCTCCAACTCCAGACCCGGGGGAGGGGGGAGGGAGAGAAGTCCGGCGGCCCTCCCCGCCCACGTGACAACACATGGGTCCCTAACGCCACAGAGCTGGACAGGCTTGAAACAGCGTGGGTTCCTAGCGCTTCAGAGCGGGGAAAGCGTGAAAGCACGTGGGCTCATAACGCCCCGCAGTTGGACAGGCGTGACGACACGTGGGACAAGCTGGACAGCACGTGGACAACACTTGGGTCCCTAACGCCCCGCAGTTGGACAAGCGTGACAACACGTGGACAACACTTGGGTCCCTAAAGCCATAGAGTTGGACGAGCTTGAAACAACGTGGGTTCCTAACGCCCCAGAGCGGGACAAGCGTGAAAACATTTGGGATCCTAACGCACCAGAGCGCGACAAGCGTGAAACCAAGTGGATCCCTACCGCCCCAGACCGGGACAAACGTGACAACACATGGGTTCTTAACACCATAGAGCTGGACAAGCTTGAAACAACGTGGGCGTAGCGTGAAAATGCTTCAATTCTTAACGCCACAGAGTGGGACAATCGTGAAACAACGTGTGTTCCCAACGCACCAGAGCGGGACGGCTTGTGCCCCTCCCCCTTCGGCTCGTCCCCTGGCTCGTCCGCTGTCGCGGTCTTTGGCTTGTCCCCTGGCGCTTTCTTTGCCCGTTCCGTGGCGCGTCCCTTACCCCGTTCTTTGACACCTCCCCTGGCGCATCTCCGAGTGCGCCCTCGGCACATCCTGTGGCGCGTCCATGCGCTTTGCGCCCCGTGTCGTCTCACCCAGCTTCGGAACTTAGCTGGATCTTGAGCTCGAGCTTATTGCGCACCCCACACGTTTCGACTGCAACCAGCTCTGGGCCACCTATGCAGCCAGGCAGCTCGAGCTTACGATCCAGATCCGTTAGGCCAGGATCTGGATGCAAACAGCGAAGAGCACAACGAAATTTACAGCGGCATGATGCACTTCATTCCAGCACGGCACAGCACAACACAATCTTGGCACGTTACATCAGAAAGAGCGCGTTCTGTGGTCGCTTGGAGGGGGGGTCGGAACCGGCCCCGCCCCCCCCTCTTGGATGGAGGGGGAGGGTTCGAACCCCCCCCTTCCCCTTCCCCTACTTCTCCTCTCTCCCTCTCCTCGGGCCGGCGCCAGCGTTGGCGGCGTCTGGCGGCGGCGGCGGGGGTGCTGGTGGTGGTGGTGGTAGTGGCGGTGGTGGTGGTGATGAGGTGGGTTGTGGTGGTTGTGGTGGTGGGTTGTGCTCTTGGTAGTAGTGGTGGTGGTTGTGGCGGTGGTGGTGGTGTGGTAGATTGTCGTGATGGCGGTGGTAGCGGTGGTGGGTTGTTGTATTGGTGGTGGTGGTGGTGGTGAGCTGTTGTGGTGGTGGTGGTGGCGGTGGTGGTGGTTGTGTGGTGGTTTGAAGGGTGGTGGTGGGTTGAGGTGGTGATGGTGGTGGTGGTGGCGGTCGTGGTGGTGGTGGCGTGGTGGTTTGTGGTGGTGGTGGTGGTGGGCTGTGATATTGGTGGTGGTGGTGGTGCTGCTGCTGGTCGTGGTGCTGGTGGTGGTGGTGGGTGCTGGGTGCTGGGTGCTGGTGGTGGTGGTGGTGGTGGTGGTGGTGGTGGTGGTGGTGGTGGTGGTGGTGGTGGTGGTGGTGGTGGTGGTTGTGGTGGTGGTGTGGTGGTTTGTGATGGTGTTGGTGGTGGGTTGTGGTGATGGTGGTTGTTGTGGCGGTGGTGGTGATGGTGGTGGCACTGGTGTGGTGGTTTGTGGTGGTGGTGGTGGTTGTGGTGGGTGGTGGTGGGTTGTGGTGGTGCTGGTGGTGGTGGCGTTGTTGGTTGTGGTGGTGGTGGTGGTGAGGTGGTTTGTGGTGATGGTGGTGGTTGTTGTAACCTGGTAATGGTGGGTTGTGGTTGTTGTGGTGGTGATTGGTGGTGGTTGTGGTGGTGGCGGTGGTGGTATGGTGGTCTGTGGTGGCGGTGGTGGTGGTGGTTCGGCCTTCGGCTCTTCCCGCCACTGTGTTGTGGCAAAGGGTCCTAGTTCTAATGGGTGCCTCTTGAGGTCTCGTCAGAAGGGTCTCGGGGGCGTCTGAGGAGCATGCGAGGGCTCGATATGGAGATTTGTGTGTTCCCTCTGCGGCCTCTGGGCCCTCACTGGTCATCATCGCTGCGTCCCCGCCGTCGGCGCTGCTGGCCGCCGCCAGCGCCAGCGCCGGCGCCGGCGAGGGGGGGGAGGGGTTGAAACCCCCCCGCCCCCCCTGTCCTGGGCTCTCTCTGGTCATCGTCGCTGCGTTGGCGCTACGGCGGCCGCCGGCGCCGGCGCGAGGCAGGGGGGGGGGGTCGGGAAAGGCGGGGTTTAGGGGGGAGGGGAGTCCCCCTGGTTCTGATCGACGGCGCCGAGTGTTGAGGGGGGGGGCCACCCCCTGGTTTGAAACGCGCCGCCGAATGTTCCCAAGGCCAGCGCCCGTGAAACGCGCTCTCTCTTACATCACGATCGACATCTTGAGCGCTGCAGTGACCTGTCGCCCAATCAGGTGTCTTGAAAACGCAGCAAGGCATCGGAGTTCTAAACCCCTTTCCGGGTTCGTGGGTCGATCATGTTTTGGTCAGGTATGCTGGCCTTGCGCGCAACAACCACCCCCGCCGTCCTCATCAAGAAAAA